CCAGTTGAATGTCAGACTAACACAATGTATTGCTCAATTTAAAATACACAAGTGTAAGAGATGTCGTACTGTACAGAGCAGGAAGAGGTGGACACCTATTGGTGTGTTGGATTTGAAGTGTTTACCTGTCTTTTTGTTTTCCAGAAGCCAACGTGAGCACGTCGATCCAGGTGAACTCCACAGCAAGAGGGTCAGCTGCTGCCTGGGCCATACTGCCAGTCTGTGAGTAAACACACACACACACACTCAGGGAGTCTGATGAATCGATTGAACCTTGCTTAATTAGTAATATATGTCTAAAGTTAATCATACTAATGTATGCGATCAGTAGACTTAAGTTGGCTTGAAATGTGTCCTTTTTTTTAAATAGGGTTGAGTGAGAATTGCTTTTAAAAGAATGTTACTCGTAAATAACTTCAGGTTTGTAGGCTGTGTATGACTATTCAAGAACTCTGGAACAATCACGGCTACCACATAAATGTTGTAAGAACAGTAACGTCAAAGTTTGATGTGAACCTAGGGTTACGTAACTGAATTCACGTTTTAGTCCCCCAAAGATATTCATGGGTTACATACAAACACCCAGATACCCCCTAATGAATGTGTGTCTGACCTGTGTCCTGCTCAGTGCTGCTGGCGATGGCAGCGGCCGGTGGATACCTGATGTGGAGAAACTGGCAGCTGAGGAACCAGAAGAGCATGAACTTTGACAACCCCGTCTATCTCAAGACCACAGAAGAAGACCTCAACATCGACATCACCCGGCACGGCGCCAACGTGGGTCACACCTACCCTGCGGTAAGTAAACAACCGCTGAGCCTAGGGCATCATGGGTCAAATGGGTCAAGGCTCAATGTACTAATCCCAAAACACACTAATCAATTCATTATTGATAGAGAATAGGTGACCTGGAATACACTCTACGCTTCACACACAGCAACCCTATAATCACCAAAAGCTCCTTGTTTTGCTCAAAAATAATTAAATACCAAATCATCTGTTGTAAGGTTTCTGGGCATTGGCGGTTTAATTTCATCCTGACACAGGATGGAGACTTGATGTCAATGACCTTCACCTGCATCATGACCTTGTGGCCTTTACTAATCCTTGGTCTTATTATTGCACATCTCTTGGTACACAGATTAAAGAGATTAGCCTTAACCGGGCCAGAGGGCACAATATGGACTCTCACACACACACACACTCACACACACACACACACACACACACACACACACACACCATTCTCCTCACAGTTGCAGCAGGCAGAAAGCAACTGAAGAAAAATGTTGTTTTTAGTTTTATATTTCCTGTGCTTTGCAAGTTAAACAAACAAGATACAATGTGTGAACTTTAGAGACGTTGTTCTCTGTACAGAACCAGCCTAGACGTTTCTCCCTGCCTCCAGTATTGAAACAATAGTTTAAGATTTCTTGAATCGCGGTCATACGAGGTTCTTATCCAAAGTCAGTGTATAACGTTTCAGTAGATGGCGGTCGGCACGCTGAGTAACGCTACAGTGGAAAGAGGTAACTGTACAACTTACTTTAGCCACCTACAAACATCAGTTAAAGTGTACCTCATGTCATGGATATGTTATTTGAGGAACCTAAGCAGTCAGCAATGCGCTCTTTAAAGCAACCGGACTACTTCTGACAAAAAGGACTCTACATGTTCTGTGAGCTAAAATGTCTGGTGGGCTTAAAGAGCGCATTGAGACCGGTTCCAGTCACCGCCCAAAAAGACCACTGGTAACCACATCAAGGTAACACAAAGAACATATTCTACATGTAGTTCACACAATGATGCAGCTACTCCAATATTTAGACAGCCATCTTCTGTATGTAGACTATGGATAAGTCCCTCGCACGACAAAAGAAATCTCTATGAAAACACTCAGAACATTTGAATAAGTCGATTTTCTCTCCGTCCCCCCCCTTCCCTCTTCTGTCTCCAGATTTCCATCGTGAGCACAGAGGACGATTTATCATGATCGGCCTCCTTTTCTTTCTTTCCTGCGGCCCGTAGTGTTGCACGACGCAACCTCGTTACCATGCCTACGGTTCCGTGGCAGCAGCCCTTACTGTACGACCACATGCCTTCTGAAGTGCATTATCTTTGGAGAGGATGACTTGAGAAATTGTTATTTATTATGTGAATACTACAATGAATTACGTGTCCATAACTGTTTTTCACTCGTCCGTGTGATAAGGATTCTTTCCCCTTTTTCGGGTCACTGCTTCCTGGTTTTTGCCCCCCGCCTTTTTTGGAGGAGGGAATCGGACGCCAAATAATCGCGGAGAGAAATGACTGGACTTCCTGTGTTCCAACTGACAGGAGGACGCAGGGTTTCTCTCTGCGAACAGATCTACTGCTGGACAGGATTTCAAACTGGATCTGAGCTGTCAGTATTAAATGGCGTATTCAAGACACTTTCGGTCATATTCTAAGTTGAGCAGGGTGAAAAAGAATCATGGGTGATATTGGTCTAAACTTCAGTTCTTTCCTCCTCTTATCCGCTCAGATGTGTTCATATTTATTTTCAATCATGATTTGGGCAGTAAAATCCAAGATCATTTGCGTTTTGTTTTTCTTTCCAACTCTTCCTCCTGGAGTGCATTCAGACGAGCTGTTCTTTCTACCAATGTTTATTATAATTATTCTAAGTATTATTATATAGGCTTTGTAAGATCACCACAATTACAGCATTTGTAAACATTGTATATATTTACCCATTATCCCTCAAAGACATTGCCGTCAATCAGGACTCTCTTCGATGCACTTTGATCAAATGTTCCTCGTGTAAATAAGATTGTATACATTTGACTTGAAATTACTTTTTTGCTATGGTTGGGCATTGTACAAGGGTTAGAGTTCAAATGTATTTAACAAGAAAGAAAAAGCAGGAAAAAAAACTACTGAATTTGGTAAAACTATTTTGTATGTTTGTGTGCTGTTGCTGTGAACTTTTTCTAGCCTTGTACAGTGAGGGGGGGGGGGATATTATTAGAGGGTAAACGCTCTGTAACTGTGAAGAAACTGAGAATCACTTGAGAATTAAAACCTAATCCACAACGTTGTTCAAAACATGGCGTCTTGGCTTTTGTCGATTGTGTGTTTGTGGATACTAACTGGAGAGGGGTCTACACTTACATGGGTCTTACTGTCCAGCGATGCTAAGAATACACTCGTATCTGGGATAAGACTATTGTGTTTCTAACTTCAACATGACAATGCCTCAAATAGGATTTATTCAAAGTGGTGCAGGAATGAGTCCCTAAAACCCAGAAAGGAGTTGGAACAAAACATTTAAGTCATAAAACAAAACTTAATTTCTGCCATATACCCAATCCCATTGGTTTTTTGACAAGGGAGAAATAAGATGTTTAACATTGAGCTTCTTTTAAATAATTTAGGATATGAAAGAAAAACCTATATTTTGGAACAATGCTAACCTAACTGCTCCTAACACTAGGATGGGTCAAATGCAGAGAAACCATGTCATGACATAGTACCTGTACTACGTAATGACAATAAAAGTGCAAAACAAAAAGGCAGGATGATTAATCTGGGACAATCGCAAGGAGTCATGTTGAGTTAAAGGTCACCTATTAGGCAAAATCCACTTGTTCATGTCTTTTCTACATCAACATGTGTCCCCTCCCTCTGTGGAAAGAGATTCTCTCTCTTTTCGTCCTGATCCGTTTATATAGAAACCTGTCTGAAAATGAGCTGATCAGATTTTGGCCACTTTATGATGTCATAACGATTGTTTGGCTTGTGTAACCATTAGCCAATCACCAACCAAGGTAACCCCCCCCACCCCCCCCCCCCCCCCCCCCCTCTGAGACCTATAATATATTGATGAAAAACAGTATAATAGGGGACCTTTATAAATGTGTTTGAGAGACCGTAGCTGAGCTGATAAGTCGTTTGTATTTGTGCGGCTCCGTCTGGTCATTATCCCGTTTAACTGCAGCACGGATTAATCTCCACCTATCAGAGTTATCAGGCGGACAGAATACGTCAAACACACACTTGGATTAAGGCAGATGTCAGTTATGAAGGTCTAAGGTTTATAAACAAAGGGCTGTGGGGCAGTGACTGCATATCAACATATTTAATAAACTAGAAAAAGAAAATCAACTTTTGACATTGAAAACATGAAAAGAACTACATTTTACTGAAATGACCCACTCATGTCTAAATGATTGTCATATGTAAAATCCACACACACATTTGACAGTAGATGCTTAGCTAGCTTTTCAGTATTTAACATAAAAAAATACAAAATAATCCAATCATTATTTGGGGGAAAAGTAATGTATTTAATACAATATGGCGAATTTGTATTTTGACAATGTTGTTTCAAAATGTGTTTTTTGTTAAAGTCCAAAATGTGCTTTTTACATCAATGTACTTGCAGCCATGTCAATGTCTCTAATTGACGTGCTTATTTACCTTAACCCCGAACAACCAAGTCAAATAACAATTCAGTGTTAAGAAATAAAGTTGCACGGTTAAATACTTCCTCTTGGACAAGCGCTTAATTTAACTATTAAACTATTAAAATCTGACCTATCCTGTAAAGACAATTATGATTTATAAATGTTATATTGACTATATTTACAGTCTATGCCAGGATAGCCAGATGTGTAAAGTTATGAGATGTAGTAAGTGGGAGGAGTGAGAGATCACGAGACGGATAAAAGAGGATAAAACTTTAAGCACCCAGATCATCTCAGTCAGCTGTGCGGCGGGACCACAGACACTTCCTACCTCATAACTGTGTGTGTGTGTGTGTGTGTTAGCTGTATGTCTGTTGACATGATTCCTCTTAAGGTGGAAACATGTCTCGTCTTTGAATGCCTGGGTACTCATTTGTGCATCTTGTGTGTGTGACCTAGGTTTTGTGCACATGTGCAAGGTGTGTGTGTGTTTGGTCAGGATGTCTCTACAAACAGGTTGATGGATTTTAGGTTTGAAAAGCATTGAGCGACATGTTGACCCACATCAGGGCTCGCAGCAGGAGTCTGTACCCCAGCTACAAGCCCGGCGGGGGGGCTCAGGCGCTCCAAGACCAGGCCGACTATCTGGACTTTGTAAAGCCATGGAGGTCCATGCAGGTCAGTCACTCTGTCTTTATTTTGAGTTAAATGTTCCTCCATGTATCCCTTGCTTTCTATATAAATATTTGTTTTTGTATTCGGGATTGTGGGAACCGGTATTTCGATCTCTCGACTTTGACTTTGATAAATCACATCCCAATGTAATTTACCCAAATACAGAAACTCTGTATATTTAAAATGTTCAAAACACAAGAATATCCTGTTATTGACAAGTGATTCTGTTTCAAGGACAACACACTACTGTCCACTGGTTAGATTAAAGGCTAGCTCTTACAGATATTTGTATTGATCAATGTTCCAGAGCTGATGTTTAACATGGCAATCTGAGGACATCAACATAGTCTGTTAATATCCTCTTATTGCCTGACATTAGATCCTAAAGATATTAGATTTTCAAAGCTGTACATCCAAGAAAAGCAGCAAATTGACCCATTTGAGAAGCTAGGAGGAGAGAACATTGTCCTTTTATGATCTATTGGATTATTATTCACTTAAAAACAACTTGAAAATAAAGAACAGTAGAAAATAAAATACAGAATGTATAAGAAAAACAACCTGATACATTTTCTGTCCGTTATTCAACTAATTGGTTAAGTGTAACACGCAGATATCAGTCATATAGGCAAATAAATCCTGCAGATAATACAGTCAAAGGTCTACAATATGATAATTTTTGTTGATTTTATTTGTGTTGTTTAATAACCCAGTGGTTGAATGCATGTTAAAATATTTGAGTTATGTCTCAGTTGTATTGTGCTTAGTTTAATCGTTACCTTATTGTGTCTCATTCACCTTGTTCTAAGCTTAAAGTGCTGCATTCATGAACCTTGGTGTTATTTGTGAAGGAGCTGGGCAGAGATATCTATGATATGTATGCTGAGTATGAAAGTGAGGATGAGGAGGACCGGCTGCCGGTGACTTCCTCCCACTTCCTGCTCTCGCCAACCAAACACTTCAATCTCAATATCAACGTCGGAGGAACGGTAACTTTACTCAACTTCTATCTAACAGTGCTTACAACCAGTATGATATCGCCTTTTAGGAGAAATCCACCCTACTTCCTGCTTGATTTACGAACCCATTTCAGTTTCACAGAAGATTTCCTGTTCATGAAAGTTAGTTTTAACATTGAACTCCACCATGCTGAATTGAAGAAGACTTGAAACTAGCTATCGAGACCATCAATTCATTAGGAATATGTATAGTGAGGTAATAAATCAAATAAGGGTTGTTTTTTTCATATACTTCTATACAATCGGGCCTATTTTTGCAAACCACGTTTAATGCACTTCCAGATTGACTTCACTTTCAACACCCTACATTTGATATACGAACAATAATTACTTTCAAGGACAGTAAAATGCAGAGTAATTTCAGTAGAGTTATTATGTAGCTTGAGTTGATAAATGAGAGGCATATGAATGGAGACGGATGTCATTTCCAAAGGTCATTAATTATGACATGTATTTTTCCAGTCTCAATAACTATTTTAAAATGTGTTCCAGTCTCATTTTATAGATGATTCCCCTCTTACATGTCATTATCTAGAGTTTCCTTTCCCCCTGATGGTCTCCTGTCTTCCTCTCCTCCAGGTGTACCACTTGCCCTACAGGTTAGCAGCCAAGTATCCAAAGACACGGATCGGGCAGTTGGCCACGTACAAGGACCACAGCAGGAAGTTGGATCTGTGTGACGACTACATCGTGCACAGCAACGAGTTCTTCTTCGACCGGGACCCTCAAATCTTCCACAACATCTTCAACTTCTACAGGTGAAAATCAGATGTATTGTTGAATGAAAGAAGTGAGTTTTCCTCTTCTCAATGGGATCATTATGGACCTGTTCTTCTGTCCTCTCCATCAGAACTGGAGTGTTGTACATTAAAAACGAGCTGTGTCCCCACAACTTCCTGGAGGAGATAAACTACTGGGGCGTCAGAATCAAAAACAGCCATCGCTGCTGCCGCATCTCCTTCGAAGAGAAGCAGGACGAGCTGAACGAGCAACTGAAGATACAGAGAGAGCTGATAGCAGAGGTGGGTTGGCGGTTTTCTTTTTATATTGAAGGTTTTTTATTTATTTCCATGCATCACCACAATAGGAATGTATTTTCTCAATGAAAAAGAGTGTTTATCAGAAGGCCTGTGTTCAAAATTGAACCTTCAGACTGTTTGCTGAATACACTGTATTAGCCACAACTCAGGTAGAATTAAGTGTGCTGTGGGGATGACTTTTCTTTTGTAGGCAATACTGTGAGTTAGCAACGCCCTTGACGAAAAGCAGGATTCTTTTCATTGGCTCTTGAAATATGGAATCTGTGGCAAATAAAAGTTCATGGCACTTAGAGACTTTGTTCAGCAAGATACTCTCTATAAATGAACACCACTTTATGGTATTTGAAACCAAATTGGAAATTGAAGGGGAAGATTCTAATTGAGTGAACTTTAAATGGTCAGTTCCTTGTATTAGGAACAGTGTGCAGCTACGATATATATACACAGTAGAAGCATGGGGATCTTAAACCTTGTTCATTCAACTTTACGTTACCCTGAATATTCAAGGTTCAAGGCTTGTATTAGTCATACGTACATGGCTATAGTGTTGTTTTGATGATGAAAATCTTAGGTCACAGGCTCCTCCAACAGAGCAACACAATAACACAGAAAAACAGAGCATACTTGAGGCAGTTCTCAGTGGAACAAAATATCCCCTCAAAACTAAGTAATAATATTTTGTTCACACATATTACTTTTTCTCCCTCCAGTCTCCTTATGTAGTTCTGCAAATAAAGATATCAAGAGGTCTCCACCTTCGGGCTGCCGTGGTTCAGCAGTCTATGTTTTGTATTTGTACCTGTGAGATTGAGTTGGCAATCTGCTGTCTGAGTCTGGCTGACCTACATTATAAATCACCGCCTCGCCGTCTTGACAGATGGAGAGCAGAGAGTAAGCTTTTTTTCTTGGCACAGGTTTCGGACAGATGTTTCTATCACAGAGGTCCCACACTCATGCCGTTTGTGTAACAGTTTCTCTCCCGTTGTGTTTTCTTGGCTCACGAGTTGGTGTGTTGAATTCCTTCAGTCCTCAATCCAAAGTGTCCTTGGGAAAGACATTGAGACCAAAATGACACCCAAAGGCATCAGTGTGTGAGCATGTGTAGACAAGCATTAGATAAGAACCTGATAAAACCCTACCATCAGTGTGTGTGAATGGTAGTGAGTTGTTGTTGGTCTATAAAGATGATATTTGACAATCAGTTTCTGCTTCTTTACTTCAGTTGCGTTTAGTTTTTCATCTGGACATGTTGGTGGTTTTGCTATGGCTTCTTTGTATTTGAACCGAGGATTATTCTTCATAAAAGTCATATTATTGGCTGTAGTTGGCACATTTTCAAAAAGATATTTCCTATTCTCTGACCCGGATGTATTTCTGTCCCTTCCAGATGGAGGAGGAGGAGAACGAGGTGTTATTCGACGGCTTGGTCTTCGGGCCGATGCGGAAGAGTATCTGGAACGTCATGGAGAGGCCGTTCTCCTCCGTCATCGCCAAGCTGATGGGCATCGCCTCCTCCCTTTTCGTGCTCATCTCTCTGGTAACCATGGCGCTCAACACCGTGGAGGAGATGCAGTACAAGGTGTGTGTTTTACTGTGTGTGTGTGTGTGTGTGTGTGTGTGTGTGTGTGTGTGTGTGTGTGTGTGTGTGTGTGTGTGTGTGTGTGTGGTGTGTGTGTGTGTGTGTGTGTGTGTGTGTGTGTGTGTGTGTGTGTGTGTGTGTGTGTGTGTGTGTGTGTGTGTGTGTGTGTGTGTGTGTGTGTGTGTGTGTAGGCTATAGAGCAAATGCATTCTGAGCAGGTTAATGAGAGTTGTCAAAGATTTCTTCGATTGCAGGGCTATAATTTATAGATTTAACTGCTTTTAATCCATAAACAAATACATTAAAAAGCAAATGTGTAAAAACTATTAAAAAAATGATACAGAAAAGACAGATCAGTTTAACAAAATATGCATCTTAGGGTGTCAGTTAAAATCTGGATATCCTTACAGACTTAAAGACTAGGAAAGGGTTTAGTTAAGTAATCAATCCGAGAAGACTTCTATACAATCCGACTTTATTGCAACCAGAGGATCAGATAACCTTTATTTGTTTTGGGTTTTTTTATTTTGAAAGTAACTATGCCGTTAGAGCTGGTTAATGAGAGAAATGTGACAGTTATAATCTTGAAAGGTCAATAATTATGAATTGTGTGTGTTTCTTCCAGTGTTGATAACCATAAGAATATTCACACTATTCTTAGAATCCAGCACTACAGAATATTCATAGATGTATCTCCTTTTTAAACAAATAAAGCAAATGTGCAATAAAATAAAAGCAAGAAGCAGTTCAACAAAAACGGGGATCTTGAAAGAAAATCTGGATATATAAAAAATAAGTCAAGCGTAATTCACAACTTAATTGTCAAATAAAACAGGCCATATACATTAAAATAAATCAGAGTAACTGTATTAGTCCCACAGAGGGGATTACAGAAGAAAAGAGCCAAAGACAGCTTAATGTTACCTAAGTAGCATGCATAACAAAATCAATTATAATAAAAAAAGTTACACCATTTACAAAAAACACACCCTGTAACAGTTCTGAGGATTTGGCAGCCAGGTATATATTGCACAGTTATTAAAGGCATATATATATATATTGCAACAAACCGTTTAAAACTTGACTTGCTCGTTGTTCCTCCAGACGCCGTCGGGCCAGCTCAGCGGCAGAACGTACGGCGAGTACGTGGAGTCGTCCTGCATCTCCTTCTTCACGCTGGAGTACCTGCTGCGCCTGGTGTGCACCCCCGACCTCAAGAGCTTTGCCCGCAGCGTGCTGAACACCGTGGACCTGGTGGCCATCCTGCCGCACTACTTGCAGATGGTCCTGGAGTGCTTTGAGGACCACGACACACAGCTGCACTCAGAGGAAGTCCAGACCGTGGGGCGGGTGGGGAAGGTAAAGAGGGGGCTGATGGGAGAGGGGAAGCAGAGGTGGGAAGTAGTACAAATACTTCGTTACTGTACTTAATTACATTTTCTGGTATCACTACTTTACTCCACTACTTATTTTTCTGACGACTTTTTACTTTTACATTTTAACAGAAATACTTTTACTTTCTGCTTCTTACATTTTCAAAACAGGCTGGTTCCTTTAGTTTGAATGTGTGTTTGGTGGCGTGATCATTATTATTTAGAGTCATTGCGTGCCTATTGATTTGAACACGATCCGTGTATCCATCATTTCCTGGTCTTCTCTAAAGAAGAGGGAAACCAATGAAAACGTTGCCGTTGTTCAGCATGGAAACATTCATTAGCTAACAATGACATTATTGTTCTATTAATATAAAGGGAGGTCAGGTACTCTTTAAAACAGCTGCTAGTTATGGGTACTTTTTACTTAAGTACATTTCAAAGCCCATACTTCTTTACTTTTACTTGAGGAAAGAAGTTTAGTCAGTACTTCTACTTTTACCAGAGTATTTTTAAACACGAGTATCTGTACTTCTACTTGAGTAAAGGATGTGTGTACTCTTGCCGTCTCTGAGGGGAAGATGGGATGTTTTTGGATTCGTCTCCCACAGTTCTTCCTCTGGGTTTTTCTGCAGGTGGGTCAGGTTCTCAGGATCATGCGTCTGATGAGAATCTTCAGGATCTTGAAGCTGGCTCGACACTCGACCGGCCTCAGAGCCTTCGGATTCACTCTGAGGCAGTGCTACCAGCAGGTGAGACTTTACATACAGCTTGTGAAAAAAAAGCCATATCTATACATGGATACAAAAAAACAGAGGAATTAATTGTGTTGTATCTTATAGTATGCCCAAAACACAGAAAGCTTTGCAAAGGTTCAAAATGCTAGAATATTTTTGCTTAATTTTCATTGCATGGTACGGCTCTGCATGACTTAAGTCCTGTGTCTCGCTGGAAAAGACTCTCTACATTACAAATATGTATGTTCATCTTCAGGTTTATATTTGTACTATGGGATTTTAGCCTTTGCAGAACATTTACATGCTCAAAAACCTATATAACACACTACAGGAAAGGGGAAAGCTCAACAAGCAAATAGATGAGGCCTCTTGAAATCTTGAATTTGGATGAACTAAAAACCCTTAATTAGTCTCCTGATTTCGTTGTTAACTCTGCTGAGGACTATGGAATCCTATATAGGACTTTGACCAAGGTTGTGCCAAAAAATGTCCAAGTACTACCCTCAACTTTTGCCCAAAAAAAAAAAAAAAATAGCCAATGATGTGAGAAGAGCTCTGCCTTACCATGCAGCTGGGATGCAGCATTTGATTAGAAACAAGTGTAGCCTGTATGTTTAGATGAATCTTAGACATTATGCCTTAGTTAAGAACGAAAACATTACATTTACGAGGAAATAATCAAACAAAACATGTTTCCTTGTTCAGGTTGGCTGCTTGCTGCTCTTCATGGGCATGGGCATCTTCATGTTTTCAGCCATGGTGTACACGGTGGAGCACGACGTTCCCAACACCAACTTCACCTCCATGCCGCACGCGTGGTGGTGGGCCGCCGTGAGTCCACACACATACACATGAACACAATGACGTTCAAACAACATGTTTTCTATCTGTTGTGTTTTTGTGCTGGAGGATTAAAATGTTAATCCACTGGGAGGCAGATCAGTGCTCAGTCTTCCCTGACTAACACCATTATCTTCCCGGATGATTTTTCCTTACACATAACTCACCATGGCAGCACCCAGGGAAGTTACTTTACTGTAAGCAATGAGGTTAGGTGACTTCATTGGTCCATTCATGTTATTTGTTCAGACTCATTTTTGTACAGTAAAACAAGACAAAGAAACACACCTTATCAAATGCCTTGAATCACACATAAAAACATATACATACTTATATATACAGTGGCGACTGGTCATTAGGGGCAGGTGGGGCACAGCCCCACCTAGTGTCAGCAGAAAGTATTACAAATAATGATTACAAAAATGCAAAAAATAAAATAAAAAAATATATAAAATATATTTTAAGATCATGTTTAATCATCTGATTCGTCTGTACATTGCTGTTTTAGTCTGTGTTCTTCTAATTAGTGTGTCTACAGTCACAGTGTGTGCCTATTGAGCTGTTTAGAGCCATGTGGGACAAAACCTGATTATGCCCCTTCCTCTCGCTGTGAAGTCAACGGTGACTGTAAAAACTACACTGCGCATGCTCAGAGTATTTTGTAATGAAATGTGTGTGGCAAAAAAATAATGACCAGAGGGGCATGGAGCTACCATCCCCACCATACGTCATCTCAAATCATTCAGAGCTGATTGGCTGTAAGTACGTGTGCCGCGAAAAGTGTGCTGTGTGAAGAGGAGACGAGAGAGCTGCAGTGACGCGTCCTAAAACCAGGAAGTAAGCTGCGCATGGCTTCCCTCGACAAAAAAGCAATGAGATTTCTCCAGAGGATTTTAGAAAATAGCTGGAAATAAGATCTGTGGGAAACGTACCTGTTAGATAAATGCACGTTTTGATCAGCCGGATAACATCCACATGTCTACCCTACTTTTATAATTTTTTTATCATAAATCTATGGATTAGATTTATGATAGACTTTTGAAACTACAAGAACATAAGGAGGACTTTTACAAAAAGTTATAGACATTTTTGTCCAGAAGGATAGGCAAATGGACTTCATCTTCAAGTCAAGGTAAGACCGCAATTTGATTGAAAATGGGATCTTACTAAGAGAGAACAATTCAATATTTAAATGATAAAATTACATTTTTTGGGTATCCTTTTGTTGAACTGTCTATTTAAAATTAATCGAAGCATCAGACAAAAAAAGCTTTTGAAAATAATATTATATTTTGGTTTAGGTCAAAATATAATATTTGTAAACCTGAAGAGTCAGTGCCAGTGCCTCACCAGCCATGAACCTCACTGCACGTCACTGCAGAAGCTTATATATAGACATCTACGTTTTTTGTGCCCCACCACTTTTGTACATATAAAAACGCCACTGTATATATAACTGTCTTGCAATCAGCTTATTATGTAAGTGTTTAATAGTTTTTCTTGTATCCCCCTTTAAAATTATTATTGTTTATTTTATTTATTTTTTATCTATATATTTTTTTGCCTTCAAGCCAGTCTGATATTCAGAATTTGTAGGTTTTTTAGATTACAATTTTTTTATTTGAACTGTAACCCATGCTATTCGTGGTAATACATACGTTTACACTACCTGTGACTGCCTCACAATAAAAGCCTGTATTTTTATGCTATGGCTGTAGAACATTGATGAATTCATTTCCGACAGTAACAGCAAAAACTACTAAAGAAAGACTTGGATTACATTTTATTTTTATAGTTATACACAAAATAATAATACACAACACTTATATAGCGCTTTTCTAAAAACTCAAAGACTCTTCGACAGAGATAACACAAACAAAAACTGAAGAGAGAGGGGGGGGGGGTGGTGAGAGGTCAGAGGTATTGATAAATATATTGACAAGTGAATATATTGCATCGAAAAAAACGTAAAGGTCTTTGGAATAAGAAAGATGAGCATGTCCTCAACATCTCATTCTGTCTTAAATATTTCTACGTGTTCGTCTAATTTATAATATTATCTGGTTTTGTCTTTCATCCCCCAGGTGAGTATTTCCACGGTGGGCTACGGCGACATGCTCCCTGAGACCAACCTGGGCCGTATCTTCGCCTTCGCCTGCATCTCCTTCGGCGTCATCCTCAACGGCATGCCCATCTCCATCCTCTACAACAAGTTCTCCGACTATTACACCAAACTCAAGTCCCACGAGTACGCCGCCGTCTCCAAGGCCCGCGGGAAGGTGCACTTCGCCAAGAGGGCGGCGAAGAAGTTTCACGACTGCTGCGAGGACGTCGTTCAGCCAAGGAATTCCCATCTGCACACAACAAGGTTTTAGATTTTCACAGTAACATTTGTGTGGGAGGTAAGGAGTGACAGTCAGAGATGTGAAATGAACCAAAGACTGACTATGGACAACATGACGTCATATGTTGGTTTCCAAACTCTCAGTTTGGCATTTTGGCCACCGCCATCTTGGATTTTTGGAGGCAGAAGTTTGAGAGGCTGGAGCAAAGTGCAACCAAACGCTGGACAAGACACTATCCTGAAGTGAGAAGACACAGAGACGTAAACATGGGCAACACAGTGGAAGTGGCCTGTCAGTCAGTCACAATTCAATCCCTAAAGCATTCCCTGCTTTAAGGGTTATTTCCATTATTACCTAAAATAACATCATGCTGTAGGCTATTGAAGAAGACTTAAAACTAGCACGTGACACCATAAACCTGTCAGGAAAACGTTTACTGTGGAAATAAATCAAGTAAGAAGTACGGTCATTATCTCAGATGTATACAATCAGGCTTATATTTGCATCCAGTGGAGTTGCATCCAGTTGCTGCTTTAAATGAACTGTCTGTGACATTCTGTACAGGCCATTTTTGTTGCAGAATAACACTGCTGGATTCATGGCAATAACAAGCTGAGAAATCTCCAAATGTCTGGATCTCAGTTCAGAAACTGTTGAGTTCAAAATGCTGCTCCAGGGCATATTTAGTTATTATATGCATCCTTTCATTCATCCGCCATATTTGCTTATTTGTGTTATCTCAGCATGCATTGGCAAAAGGTGACGGAGAAAAACCCTAAATATATTGGTTAATATTTCTATTTATACTCATCATTATACTATTTTTTTAAATACTGTAAATCTATGCTAAAGCTGTCTGTATCACAATCATCATCTACTCCCCCCCCCCCCCCACACTCAGTCCATTAGTCCAGTAATCCAGGAATCAGGAGTAAATGGCGTGAACGGGTCAGAAATAGATCATAGGTTGCAGAGTGGACATCTGGACGACAGATATTAGACCTATTTATCTTCCCCATGCATCTCTTTAATAATAAACCATGTTTCACACTGCCAACTCAATCGTCATTCAATCGGTCGTTTTAGCTGCTGTCAGACCGTCTGTAATGAACAGTATGTTACTTTATGGTTAAAAGCAAAAAGCATTATAAGGTGATCATGATTTGGTGGAGGTACTCTATAGGAAATGTGGCTTTCTTGCAGAGTAACATTAGCAAATGGCTAGCAGTCATAGCTCAACACTTAATAAATCCACCAAGAGATAAGCTTAGCACAGAGACTGAAATCATGGCTCCGTTTCATCACTGTGACATTTTCCAAGAAACCAACAGGAAGTAAATTCTCCTGACCATTAAATAGTCTGGCAAATAACTCCCCTTTAACCCATTAAGCACTGAGCCTGTTTTTCAGGTTTAAGGCTCGGAAATGCCACTAACACAACAAATGACTATATCTTCACTTCTAAAAGGGGTAAATTCATAATCTTTTTTTTCTCAAAGCAAGGTTCCATCTGTGAGTTGGATGTAGAAGTATCAGAATCAATAGATGTTTTTTATTTTAAAGTAAATTCAGATGGAACATAGTAAAAACATGTAAATTCTAATCTCCGCCTAGAAAACCCCCATTACTTACAGTGAAAACCACCCTTGAATGATGGGCTAGTAGACTAAAAGCTTTAGGAATCCAAACTATAACATATAATAAGTACCCTGTATCAAGATTGATGCAAAACAAGTACAATTTGACCTTTTTAGAGCGGTTTAGACAAATAAAGTCCAGGCGGACTCACCTCTGGGTAATTTGGGAACCATCAGTTCCATTTGACCTTTTTCACTGTAAAAATCATTTTATTACTTTGAATTATCCCTATAGGTATTCATTCCATCCAAATACAACTGTTGTAAAAAAAAAAAACATGCAAAATGAAGTTTGACTCCAACTGGAGCAGATTTATTTAAAACTTTACAATGTTACAATATTTTTGACATGCCACTCCTGGTAACAATTCTTTTTGGAAGTGAAGCACAGAGGGACCTGACACTTCCTGCAGTGCACAGGTGTCTTCACCCTCTTTTTGCCAGCATCATGGCAGTTCCTGCAGTTCTTCCTGATACGGACATCTTTCCCATAAAACATGGGCCCGCATCTGAGTGGTGGGGGGGGTGGTGGTGGGGGGGGGTGGAGGTGTTTCATATTCCAACATTTCTGCAGCAAGCTGCTCCCTGAAAGTCTTCTGTGTGTGTGGCTCTGTCCTGCTGGGGTCACTCTTCATCTTGTGCAGCTCCTTGTGGAGAATGAAGCTGTTCACCACGGCAATGTCCAGAAAATGGAAAAAAAAAGTCTTGTACCATTTCATCGTTTTGTGGAGAACGCTGTGCAGAGGGGGGGGGCAGGAGGTCGTTCACGGAGGTGTAGCTGAGTCCCTGGCCTGAGGGGAATGTACTCTTCCCTGTGTACACATTGAAGTCCCATGTGTATGCCGTGGAGGAATCCGCCAGCACAAACAGTTTGTATCTGCACTTAGTTGGTTTATCCTTCATGTACTGCTTCATGCTGATGCGGGCCTTTGAGGCGACCATCCTCTCATCTGTTGAAATGTTTTGATGGGGCTGGAAATGTGCTTTGCAGGCAGTAACGATGTCCGTGTACAGGGGCTTTATCTTGAAAAGTCTGTCGTACTCAGCGGTGTTCCTTTTGCGATCGTTTTCCTCGTCTTCTTCAGGGTTGCTCAGGTGCAGTGACCACATGATGGTTCCGAAGCGGTCCCGGGACATCGCATCACCTGGGAATTTGAAGTTATATGGCCATTTCTTCCTCCAGTAGTCCGATCGGTTGTGAACGGTGACGAGGCCTGAGAAAATGATAATGGACAGGAAAATATAGAAATCCCTCACAGTCAGCATTTTCCAAACATGCTTCTTTCCAGCCTGCAGTCTTTTCAGGGCGTTGGCGTTCGTGTTGGAAATGATTGTATGAACCACGGAAGCGCTAAAAAAAAGTCTGAAAATGGAGAGGGGAGACCATGCTACAGTGGGGTTGAGCGCTGGGCCTGGGACCCTGGCTGGCGTGAAATTCAGTGGCTCTGGTGTTTGGTCATTCTCCTCTCTGTTGTGCCACCCGAGTTCTTCTTCTGTCGTTCTGGAAGAGGAAGAACCTCGGCCACGTTTCCTGCGTTTTACACATTTATCTGATGCTTTTCCTTTTCCTGGCTGAGGAGCGGGAGCCTCACCTCGGCCACGCTTCCTGTGTGTTACAGATGTATCTGACGCTGCAGAAAGCTGGTAGAAACCAGACGATGGTAGCTTTGGAAGTGAGTGCTTTTCGGATGCAGGCTGAGTGGCCAATACTGGTGCAGATCTCTTTCTAGAAGTTGAGGAATGTGAGGGTGAGGCAGGTGTGGGCTGGGTGAAAGTAGACAATGGTGGGGGTCCAGAAGCCATTTCATCCTCATCTCCATCACTATGAAAACAAATGTGGAAAAACAAAGAGATTAGATTCATTCCTGTAATTCCTGTTTCCTTGGCAGTAAACATGCCATTTTGAGTGTGTGAATGCAATACATTTAGTGACTATAGAACACTGGCCTATACTTTTAGTAAATGTAACAGAAACACTATTTGGTATTTTTGTAAATAATCCCTCTAATTCCTGCCAAACATGCCATTTTGAGCGTGTGCATTTACATTACATTTAGCAGACGCTTTTATTTACTATATGAATAATCGTACACCAAATAAATAAGTAATAGATAAAAACAGAGAGATTACATACCTTTCCCGTGGTGGAATTTCATCATCAGAGTCACAACGGTCTGGGTTCCGTTCTGGCTGCAAGAGGTCCTCGTCGTCTGACTCAGAATCAACAGGTAACATATCTGCATCGCTGTCAACATTAGTCACAATTTCCATTGTCTGTAAAGTAGCAAGCATCTCCATTATTTGACAAAAGTCAAAGTATAGAAAAAGTCCTAAACGCAAATCTTGTAATCTGCTCTGTTATCTGCTGTCCGCTCTGTGCGCTCTGGGTCCTGCTGCAATTCCTGTTGTTTACGTAGTAAACACTGCGTAGAGTCTGGTGCGTAATGGGTCTGCCGCTGGCTGTCATACTTTATACTTTACGCAGGACCATATCTATGGAACCCATTGGTCGATTTGGGTGATTTACACCTTTTTCTTAACCATTAGACCCAATAGAATCCGATGGGCAGTTCCCAAATCCACGTAAACATTACCATTGCGGACGTAATAGAGAAGCAAACGAAGCATATCTGAAAGTACGAGCCTTGACTGCAAAACTTTATACCCAGTATATTGCCATAAATATGATGATGGATTATCAGTAAAAATGTCTACGTGACACAGAGACATTGGATTAACCTTGAGCGGCGTTTTTATTCCGTTGAACACAACTTTTGATCACAAATCAAAAAAGGTAAGATGTAATTATTGCAGGGTTGCCAACTTTGGGTACCTGGCTGGAGTGAGATTTTGATATCATGGGTTTAATTACACATATGCGCACTAAATGACTGCTATCGTGTCAGTAGCGGGACCTTAGCATATATATAGGATATATATATAATATATACAAATACACAATATTGGACACAGACTATAAAGGGCACAAAGTTTCATTCACTAATGAAAGTCAAACACATGTTTGTTTTCCACTGTTTTATTGTGTGCCTGTCGCGATAAGCAAATAATTGACTTATCGTTCGATAAATAAAAATGTACTCGATAAATTGCCATTTACATGAGGATGTGACTAGCAGTTATAGTTATATTATATATTATCATTATGTCAGTGGTCTAAAATGGTCATACAACGGTGCCGACAATATTATCGTTAATCGCAATAATTTCCGGGAAAATGTATCCAACAAAATTAATTATCGTGAGAGGCCTATACATGAAACACACACACACACACACAAATCTACAGACTTACTCCAAACTGCCAAATATATTAACACACTCTCACTCTCATATACTCTTTGACTCTATTTTGGCCTAGTAGAACCAGGGCCGTATCCAGGATTTCCTAAATACCGAGGTCCAAACATGCTAGGGGGGTTCGGGGGTCGTATACTCCCCCGAGATTTCCGGGATTTTCATGATCTAGTTAGGTGCTTTTTAAGTCCTGTGGGGGGTCACAAACTGGATAATATATCGATTTCAAACCATGTCAGTGGGCTGCAGCATAGATTATTTTTGAATCAGTTGATTGTTACTATGAATGATCTGGACATGCAGAAGAGGCTAAAATGATCACAAAACATTGTCAACATTCATTTTCCATGTCTCTCTCCTTTCCATAACCTGCAGCCTCTCTTCCATCTTCTTTAGTCTCTCTGTCTTCTACTCTTTCTCTTTGTTCAATCTCTCCCTCGTTGTTCACTTTTTGCTCACTCCTGTCGCTCCTGCCAGTGAATTAAAAGCAATTCAGCAATTTAGTTCATTTCACTTGTTTGTTTGCATTTCTTTTTTTAAATCTGTTTTGTTTGATTCTCAAAAGAGAACAAAGATGTAAGCAAATGGTGTTTTATACAATTGTATGTTATTATGACATCATAACTGCAATAGATGTAAGTTGTTTTTTAAAATGATGCATATTGTCTATATTGTAAATGAAGACTATTGTTATAGATAGATAGATGGATAGATAGATAGATAGATAGATAAATAAATATTTTGTGTGATTGTACCTGCAGTTCCTCCCTGACTTCCATCACTTTCTCTCTCTCTCTTTCTCTCTGTCCTGTCTCTTCCTTACCAAAGCTGAGCTTCGACTGACGTAGTCTTTTCATTATATCTGAGTCAGTGTAAAAAGAAAACAATACAATGTTATATCTTCAATGTTTACTCAAATTGAAATGAAAGAAAAGCATTACAACGTTTGTTAAAAGGTAATCCTTCTGACATTGGATGAATGTAATTAACTTTAGCTCTCTAGCTAGTTTATTCACGCAATTTAAACCAAAGTATAGCCTATAGCTGCAATATAAGTTAGTGTGCATGTTGTCGGACGTCCACTGACTAACGTAGTGCGTTCACACAGGATCTGCTGGTCATATGATGTCCTGATGAACAGAAACACAAGCAGCCCACTGGACTCAGATCTCTAGATACCTCATCACTCCTCCGCTGCTCCGATACAAGTCCGGGCTGCGGTGGTTTGTTAATATATGTCGTCTTCTTCTGTTGCATTAATCGAGGCTACGTAGTTATGCAGCGCCCCCATCGTCAGTAAATGGAAGTACTACAAATAATGCTGTCAACTCAACATTGTAAATAACCAGCCAAACACGATCGCCGGTTCATCTTGTTTTTGGCGTGAGAATAGTTTGGGCAGCGTGAGAGCGTGAGATTGAGAGTGAAAGCGTGTGTCACACGCCAGATGCGTGAGAGTTGGCAACCCTGTTATTGTAATATTTTTGAAACCGGATGCTATTTACTTTCTCTTTTCTGGCTGAAAGCTCCGCAAATTCGGGGTCGTACAGTGATGACACTACATGTATGGAATCTGTGGAGTCTCAGCTTTAATCGGATATCTTGTTTGTGCAGTTACGATAAGTAATAAGGGCATTTTGAGAGTGAGTGCTGTGCAAAAGTCCGTTAGCATTTTTTCGCTCAATGCTAATTCAAAGGCTTGGTATTACTCTTGTGTTTCTTTTAGCTAAAAATTGTTCATATGGTCAGTTAGCGGAGTTTCTTCCCATTAAAAGGGTATGGAACATTAATAGTTTCATAAATGTTAAGAAGCCCTGAGACATGAGAGGCTTCTCAATACTTTAATTTCCCCTCCTCGACTCCCCTCCTCGACTCCTATCCTCGAGACTTAGTCCCGCCCACAGGAGATGCGAGCGGAGGACTGAGGAGGGGAGCCGAGGAGAGAGGAGGGGAAGCAGCAGGCGGTTAGAGAAATGAGAACTCCTCTCCTCTGAGCGGTCATTTTAAAGAGACGTCCATTAATGATGACAGGGGGCACAGCAGCACTCTGTCTGATGGACAGATGTGTTCATGACGACTTATATATTTACTTTTAATTCATTGATTAGATTGATTGGATATGGCCGTTTCCAATTTAAAATCAGATTTTATCACGCTGCAGCATGCGCTTCTTGATTCTAAACTGCTATTGAACAGTAAGAAAACCAAAGCAATGCTTTTTGCTCCCAATAAGTCAGCGTCCTCCTCTTGCCTCTCCATTGACACCCTTGATGGCGTTTCTGTTGAGTTTGTTGATACCTACAAATATCTGGGCTTTTGGTTGGACAGTAATCTGAACTTTAAACACCATATTAAAGTTTTAACAAAGAAATTGAAATTCACTCTTGGCTTCCTTTTCAGATTTAAATGTTGTTTTTCAATTTCATCCCGTAAAAGGTTGGTCTCTGGCTTATTCCTGTCCCAGCTGGACTACGGTGATACCATTTATAGATTTGCCTGTCCCACTGTTTTGGCCAAACTTGACCCACTTTACCATGCTGCACTGCGTTATATATCAAATGCACCCTATAGGACTCATCATTGCACACTGTATAGCCTAACTGGATGGTCCTCACTTACTATGCGTAGGATGCAGCACTGGTTTTTATTAATGTATAAAGCCATTTTAGGTAAGCTTCCACTCTACATATGTGTCAGATTTGCCCCAGTTTGCGACTCTTACAACCTCAGATCCAGTGCCTGGATACGGTTCCAGGTACCTACTGTACGGACTGAGGCTGGAAAAAGGAGTCTTTCTTATTATGGTCCTTGGTCTTGGAATGACCTTCAATCACGCCTTAAACTGAGGGCACTTGTCTCTATATCATGTTTTTAATTGAAGTTGTCTGAAGTCCTCACCACCAGCTGCTCTTGCAGTAACAAGTAGTGTACTTTTTATTGTCCTAATGTGCACAATGTAGTGACTGCTTTTTCGTCTTTTGTTTTCTTAGTTATGTTCTCTGTATTTTATATGTTTGTGTTATGTGTTATGTGTAACGTTGCTGCCTTCTTGGCCAGGTCAGCATTGAAAATGAGATTTTATCTCAATGTTTTTATCTGGTTAAATAAATAAAAAAATTGACAGTGCGGTATAATGAGACAATAACAGGCTACAGATGCGGACATATACACACACACATATATTTATATAAATATATACAATTTCAGAATCAAACAAGTATGAGAGCACTCTCATAATAACGTAACACAATCAGAGACTGGATATATCCCCCCCCTCTCTCTGGTCGCTGAAATGGGGAATTGAAATTACGGGCCAAAAGTTGTATTTACACGTATTAAAAGTAAGCACAGGACACCAAACCAACTGAGACCCGTCTGTCCGCCGCATCTACGCACTCAACACACGCACCTACACACTGTACCACACACACACACCTACAGCTCCTAAAGCATAATCAGGCTACAGCCGTTGTGTATTTTATTATGTGAAGCACTAAATGGTCTTAGAAAAATATCGACTCTTTGTAGATATCTACTAAACTAAAGCAAATAAAGAGAGTAATGTAGGCCTGTTATACTGAGTGATATATATTTTACACACTGCTCTGCTTTCTGCACGGACCTCACAGCTGTTTTCACTGTAAACATCGCGTCGCGATGAAAGCAATTACTAAAATAATATCCAAGGGATGCATGCAGAGCTGTCATTGGCTGAGATAAGTCCGGCCGTGCATAACCTTATTATTATACATCCATGTGCGTAACGCCTCCACCGTTCCCGGAAATGCATCCGCGGCCGTGGAGGACCCATCAGTGTCTCCTCGGTTAGAGCTCCTCCAGAGAGCCTCCTCGATGCTCGGTCCTCGATGTGCATTTAGAGAAATGAGATGTCCTTCAACATGGCGCGCTGAAATCCATTTCCGGGTCACTATCGGAGGACCGAGGAGTCGAGGAGGGGAAATTAGAGTATTGAGAAACCTCTTATGTGTTTCCCCCTGCTTTCTGGCGTTATGCTAAGCTAATTGCTGCAATTCGTAGTATCATCTAACTCTTGGCAGGAAGGCAAGAAAGCATTCATTTTAATGTGAAGCTATAGCCAGGGGATGGTTAGTTTGGCCCAGTCTGAGATGAACTTCCAGGCAAGAAGCTCTCACATCACATGTACATAAACAACATTATGTGCATGTTACCTTTTGACAGAGGTATCAATATTCTTATCAGAAATGGTTACTTACTGCTTTTACGTAAGTGATAGTTAAATACTCAAATTTGAATACAATAGTCTTTATTTTGCAAATTCTTTCTTTTCAGCAGATACAATTAAAACACATGGTACAAAATCTTAGAATAGGACTACAGTACTGCAATACAGATTGTTTTTATTTGTCTGGTTTATGGGTCTGTTAGTTTTAAGCTACAGGAACACCTTTCCTGTTAAACAGATGTTGCTGAAATGTTGGAGCTAAATCCAACAGCACAAAGTTATTTTCACCAGTCTGCTGCTCTGAGTTTCTATTAACTATCTCCTTTGCCGTTAGACTACTGTCAATAAACCTCAACTAATCGGCAAAAAAAAGCCTTCAGCATCCCAAAGGGAATCTTTTATGTGAAAGAAACTGAGTTTTATTGACAGTCATTGGGAAAAATATGGCAAAGTGTGTTTACATTAGATGTATTTTGTTGACCTGTTGTCTTGGTCAATCACCTTCTCAAACATATTTTATTTAATTATCAACAGATACATTTCCACACAAATTCACGTCCATTTCTCCATCAGGGACGGACATAACGGAGATCCAGGTCGCATACACCTCCTGAAATCGTTCCCATTCGCAGCTTCAAACGTCTGCAGTCTTGTTTTTCTGCTGCACAGGAAATGATGCGATGACATCACCAGTCTGTTTGGAATAAAGTCTCTACTTGTTGAGGTTCTCCAGCAGGATCTCAGCTCCTTTGTTGTTGGCGAGGCTGCTGAGCTCTCCTTTGATGGACTGCAGCGCCTCCTTCACCTCCGCAGCCACAGACTTCTCATAGCTGTTTAGGAGGCTGCAAACAAAACAGGCAAAGGTTCAAAAAGGTTAACAACACAATTATGTTTCAATATTTATCCATGTCATGCCTTTGTGTTGATCACATTATTAATGAAATGTTCCCTATTAACACTGCTGACAGAATGTGGAATGACAAGAAAAACGTGGACACTGTTGGAAAAAATATATGTTTTTTTGTTGAGGTTTTTTTAAGCGTTTCATTGTTTTGAGCATCACACCTCCACTAATTTCCATGGGGTTGTTATGGCAGAAATCTCACGCTTAAAATAAATAAAATCACAGGACCCTGACAAATAGAGGGACACTTATGGTTTGGATGAGGTAACCGTAGTGTATGATGTGTGTGTGTGCTCGCTCACTGACCTGCAGAGCACCATGGCTCCTCTGTTGACTTTGACCCAGCTCTTCAGTTTGTCTGTTCCCACTGCGTCCACCAGAATCCTGCTGAAGCGCTCTGAGAGGAAAAAAAGAAGAGAGGGGAGACATGCTTTAGTTATCATTATTTTAGCTCATAATCTTATATTTCTGTTACCCTTGTCTCAAAAACTGCCCTGATTTAATTTGGTTAAAAAAAATAAAAAACATTTGGGCGCAGTTTTGCAAAATTAAATGAATGTATGACTTCATGGTCTAGCAGTAGGTGTGTGTGTTTTTACCTTCCTTGCCGGCCTCTGCCAGCGTCATGTCCTGCTCCAGGAGCCACTTCAGCACCAGGTGTCCTGCTGGGTGCTCGGCCATGTGAAGCTGCAGCAGAAACAGGAAGTCAGTGCGAAGAACAGCAGACTTTGTTTTGGAAAGCCATTCATTGTGAGGAGAACCTCCATGCTTGCTTCTTCCGATAACCCTCCCCCACACACACACACATCCCCCCTACCTGTCCGTCTATCCCCCCTGGCACCAGCTCCTGATTGGCCAGCTGAGCCACGGCTGTCATGGCGGGCCGCAGATCCCCGCAGGCCGACGCCAGGATGTCACTGATGGTGACGCTGGACGCCTTGTCTATCACCATGGTGTCGGCGTTGGTACGGAGATGCTCCAGCAGCGGGGGGGAGACGACCTCCAGCAGCTCCTTTCGCCGGACCGCCATGTCCTTTTTACTGGGGAGAGGAACACAGATCTGATGTCACTCTGCTGCAGCGTTTACATCCCTCACTACTGATGTCCTCCCTTCAGGAAGCCGTTTGTTCTGATCAGTATGAATGAGCACTTTCCCTACCATGAGAAGTTTAAATGTTTATTTGGAAGCAGTTGGTGAACAACCCCAATAAAAAAATGGAAACTATCCCTTTAAGAGCAGCAGGGGGCATGTGATTGGCTGAAAGGTGAGAAGCTTGAAAATAACTCCACTGTCATAAAAAGTGAAAGCAAATAATGACAAAATGTGTCATGGGATAAAACGTTGTTGGCAAAAATACCTTTTATAAAAAATGTAGTTTTTAAATGTTATTTAGACATTTGTGATGAGTTACCTGTGTGTGTTCCCGTCTCCTCGCTCCAGCACCTTGATGATCTCCGGCAGCAGGTGAGCGGGGTCTCTGGGGGTCAGCAGGTACAACAGAACCTTCTTACCGTATTTATTACCAATGACCTCATCCAGAGACAACAAGACTTCCTGCACAGGGAAACAGGCGAGACAAGACTTTTAGATAATAACTACAACCTGATTATATTAGCCTATTAAATCATAGCTGTGTGCAGGAATATCTTGTAATGAAGCATCAAAGCACATGGGCTCAGACTCACAGAGAGCACGGCCTGTTTGACCAGCTTGGTGTCGTCCACACAGTCGAACATGGCCAGAAGAACCAGGTGACCGAACTCTCCCTGTGGACAGAGAACAGACACATGAACATCAGGAGTTCAGGTAAGACATAAACTGATTATTAAGTTTAGATATTTATAAATGCAACCTTTTCTCCTAGTAAATACTTAGAATTAAGAGTTTTGTTCTCTAAAATCCAATGAGCCAACACAGGTACAGACAGCTTGTTTCTAAAATGAATGAATGGCATTGAGAACTCACCGTGGCAAACTTCACCATGTAGGTCTTCATAGTTTTGATGATGACTTTTCTGTCCTGAAACATGACAAATAAAACAAATCTTCGTAACAAAGACATGATTGGTTGATGCATTTTGTTCGCCGCTTGACTAGTTCTTGGAAAAAAGCTTTTTACCTGTGGTATTCATTTCCTGTGAGGCAGAATTAATGACCAAAACTACAGTGTGTGTGTGTATGTGTGTGTGTATGTGTGTGTGTATGCGCGTGTGAACACACCTTGGCCGTCCCGAACCACAGACAGTTCATGGCCACTCGGGCTCCGTCGTGTGTGTGAGCCATGTAGACGACTGACTCTCTGATGGACTCGATCATCTCCTGCTCACATCACACACACCGGAGAGAAGCAACATGTCATTCCATTCAACAGTAAATACACTTATAAACATGTCTTTTATTTGAAAATATGTTGTTCTATGGAACTGTAACATTTGTCTGGTTTGCTTTCTTTACTGTTATTCTGTTGTTACATTTACTTTTCTTTTGCAGCACATTGCATCTTTCTTAATAAAGAAATATGCGACTGCTCACCGTTCTCTGTTTCTCGGGTGCGAACAGGAAGTAGTCCAGGAAGACTTTGTGGACCAGAGAGTGTTTGATGACTTGTTCTCTGAAACACAACAACAGAAGATGTAGTTACCTTGTTTTTAAATTCAACATGCAATCAACACAACCCAAATAATTAATCCAAAGGACATTAAATCACATCAATGAGACGGAGAAAGAGAAGCGAAAAAATAAATAAAAACAAAGCTGGATTCATATATACAAGCTTTTTATTATCTTTATCCAAGAAATGATAACTAAACATTGTTGCTAAGGAACCAAAGACAACCCAAAGATTACTAACTAAATGTAGTGATACAAAACAGGCTGCCTTACTTCTGGGCCATGGGAGTGAGGGTCTGCTTCATCTCCTCGATGATGTTGGCCAGCTTGTCCGGGTTCGCCTCGGCCACTTTCTCGATGGTGTTACACACTCCAGACTGAAGCAGAGGAAGAGGAAAGTTCAGGCACTCATTCAGCAGCAGATAACACTCACATGACCAACGCAGACACAATGACATCATCAGGAGTGTGTGTGTGTGTGTACCCTGCAGACGGTGTAGGTGTTCCCATACAGCTCCTCAGTGAGCATGAGTCTCTGCGCTAACACGGCTTTGTCGTTGTAGGCGTACTCGATGATGGACGAGGCGGCGGCGTGGCGAAGCATCGAGCGCACGTGACCTTTGAACGTTTTCATCACAGCCGCCATCAGCTCCTTGTTCCTGTGGAAGGCGCACACACACAAGTTACACACACCACTAAAATGACTGATATTTTTAACTGCACCAAATAGAGTTCTGCGGGAATAAGTCCTAAAGCCCAGTTGAAATCCCATCGGATCTTTGCGATGCCAACTTCCAGGTCAGCTTACAAAATAAGTCGTCGATGCACTACTCTATAGAAGTCTGATTTGAATACGGACATCTTCTTGAAAGGAATAGAAGAAACCACTATGAGCAGACTCACCCATACATCAGCATCTTTTTCACCACGTGTTTGCCGTACTGCGACTTACACAGAGCGATGATGTCATCTGTGGGAGACAGGAAAATACTGACAGTTAATGTTTTGTTTATTAGCGGCTCGTATATAGAGCTGGACTACAGGTCAGCTGACCCTCCAGCCGTCATGTGGCTGACGCTGCTGATCAGGCAGGATGTGAACATGGAAATGATTCAATTCATGGATGCGTTTCCTTTTTAAAAGAATTTAGGATATTGTCAAAATGTCAGGACAGCTTAAAAATGCACCCATCTCTCTCCACTGTGAGATGATATGTTCAGTTGCCTCTTAGCAAAATGCTCAGCTGGTAGGCTGTGATGCAGAGTAGATGGCTTGGGCTTTTATTGTGAAAGTAAGATTGTCAACCCAAGGCAATTGTGATTGTGAGTCTTACAGGGAAGTTGAGGTTTAAAAACCCTTAGCAGCCTGCAGTGTATGAAAAACTTCACTGCGTCAATTTAAACGTAAGGTTTATTAAATTGTCTGATGATGTGAACACAAAACAAAGTCCATGAAGCACACTCACCTTCGAGCTCATCGAAGACCTCCTGTCTCTGCTCGTGGCTGCCGAACTGTGTGAAACACTGGAGAACTCGCACCGAGTCGTGAGCAAAGGCCATCTGGAGGAGAGAGAACAGTGAGAAATGACAGTCAGAAAGATTTCATATTAGAAAGTTATTTTTTGTCTAACTACTTGCGTTTCTTGACATATTAGACCATTTTAAACGCGTCTCTGTGTCATCAAATCTCAGCTATGAACTTGGCAAGTCCAATTAGACCTTCAGTTATAATAAGAAAGTATCATTATCCTGCCGCAGGTTAAAAAAATAAGTAACAAAAAAGGGGAATATGTGTACTGGTTGAACGGCACCTGGCAGTAGGACTAAAATAAAGTGCATCCAAATAAAATCTTAAGACACTTATGTTCCAAACTCTTTGATTGACAGGCGATCTGCAGTCATTTAGCCGACATCACATGTTTGTTTTTTTCATTCAAGGGATTCTGTTTATGAGCCTTATAGCTCCTGAGGGAGGCAGAGTGAGGCTCACCTGCTTGATCTTCCCGCGGACCAGATCGTGAAGCTCCCCCATCAGTTTGGTCTTCAGCTCTTTGTCACAATTCTTCCTGTTAACACACACACCACCATCGTCGCCTGTCAGTGAACAGGCATATTACATCTAATATTAATATGTTCTGGCCCTTGTGTGGTTGTACCTCCTGAGGTCGCCCCACAGGCGTTTGCACTGACGGATGATATCGAACATGTCCTTCCTCTCCGCGTGCTGCCTGCTGTCCTTCAGATCCCTCTTCGCCTGCTGCCTGTTCTTCTTGATCTCCTCCTCCGTCAGCCCCTCTGTGTTTGGCTTAACTTCGCCATCCTTCAACTTCTTGGCCTCTGGACCTGATCACACGCAGAAAACACTCACAATGTGTCCACACTTCGGTGATAAACAACAGTAATATTTAGGCTGAATCCAGAGGAACAGAATTGAAGGCTTTACCATACTGCTTTGAGCAGAGCAATGTGTACAGCAACTAATCAAAAGTCCACGTGCATGTTATTAATATGGTCAAACAATTCATCAACATCACAATATTGGTTACTGCAATATTCAAATCACGGAAGGCACAATATTTTGTACGGGCAAAGTATGTGGAAATATTATGAATTAGGTTTTGTGGTGTTGCATAGATTTCCAGGCCTACAAAACAATATTTAAAAAAAAATGCATTTGTTTGGTATATATCCTCCTAAAAAAACACCCTGATCATTTTAAATATATCTAAAAATGATAAATTCTTCCAATATAGTAATCTCCATACATTCAAAAAAACATTTGAGTTATTTTCCCCCAATTGTGCAGCATTAATGATTCATATCCCTTTGCTAACGATATATAAAATATATTACTTGAACTGCAATTATAACTCCTCCATGTTTACTTGTGGGAGAGTGACACCACTATGTAACACTTGCGCTTCTATTGGCTAGCTCCAACCCATTGTACTTGAAAGGCTAAGGGGCGGGACATCTCTAAGTGGTTGACCAATCACAACAGAGCCGGCCAGCTAACCAATCAGAGCAGACTGGGCTCTGGTTTCAGACAGAGGGTGAAAAGAGGTGCTGCAGCACAGGCAGTATGAAAAAAATAAAGAGCTTTTTGAACATTAAAGCATGGAGACATGTCACAGTAGAGACACCAAATATCAGCCTGAAAATGAGCATTATAGGGCCCCTTTAATTAAGCCATGAGGAGTAAATGACTAAATTATGCAAAACCTTATTGACATCTTTTTAAAGTCAGCACGTAGAGGTTTCCTCACCTTCCCCTTCTTCTTCATGTTTTGCCTTAAATGGCATTTTTCTCTTCTGCTGACCAGGCCCAGCTTTGGAGAAGGCAGGTTTGTAGTCTTTGTTTCCGCCATTTCCACCCTTCCACGGTTTGCCCCCTGTGTTGTCATACGCTTTGAAGGGCTTCTTACCAGGCGGTTTTCCTCCAAGTTTGGTCCCCATTGAATCTGGACAGAGTGAAACATGTCAATGACAAACCTGGTTGAAAGTGATGCTGTATAGCTGGTTAATGTTAACTAGAGCTCACCTTTTCCTTTTTGTGTAAACTTCTTTCCACCTTTAGGAGAAAAGGGTTTCTTCGATTTAGCCTCCATTCTAAGGTTATACCCCAGAAAGACAGCAGCAGAAGACAGATTCAATACACAAAATTAATGCACAATCCCACACTCACACATTTTTCCAGGCCTATCTGTTGAGTGAGCAGTTAGTCTACATAAAGTGAACTATCTGCAGAAATTAAACACTTCCATAACACATTTCAAAATCAATATCACAATCTTTTACTGCTAGGAGTATCTTAAACTTAAGTATTCGTACAAAACTTGCAGGAAAACGTATATTTCAAGACTGACTGTTTCTTTATCCTTCAATACTCAAGCAAATGTAGCTGGTATTAATTATTTGTCACGTTTAATGCTGCATATTTCTTCAATTTGGTTTGTTTTCTCTCACTTGGATAATGTTTAAAATGTGTTGCTACTTTTGCCAATGCTAATTAACATAGCTAATAGCATAAACAATATCTGTCAACACATCTTAATAAAATACATATAACCCTACGCCACGGTTTTTTGTTTATCTCTACTTTAAACACGAACAACAACAGGTATATACAACATTTTACTGGTGACTTACATTTCAGATAAACACACACGCTATCGCAGCTCAGTCCCATGCGTTCTGCGACCAACACGGTTTACGGCACCACACCATCCAACCAAATTGAAGCTTCGCTGCCGTAAAACGTAGGGTGATGCGCTGCCAACATGTTAACGCCGTAAAGAAGCCGGACGTCACGCTTTACAAATATATATCATTACAATACAATATTTAATCTGCTCAACAAACGCAAGATTAGCGACAACAAAGTTGTGTTTAATAATACATTTCTGGCGTTTTAGGCATGTATTAAGAGCGTTCACAGCCTGGAGCGGCCATGTTTACAACTATGGTTTGCCCCTCTCGGCCACCGTACAGACATCGTCACTAAGGCCGTATCTCATTTCTGGGATTTCCCCTCCTCGATTCCTATCCTCGTGTCTTAGTCCCACCCACAGGAGATGCGAGCGGATGAGCCGAGCAGGGGAGCCGAGGAGAAAGGAGGGGAAGCAGCAGGCGGTTAGAGAAATGAGAACTCCTCTCCTCTGAGCGGTCATTTTAAAGAGACGTCCATTAATGATGACAGGAGGCACAGCAGCCCTCTGTCTGATGTTCTTATTATACATCCATGGTCTGATGGACAGAACTGTGTTCATGATGACTTATATATTTACTTTTAATTCATTCACAGTGCGGTATAATGAGACAATAACAGGCTACAGATGCGGACACACACACACACATATATATTTATATATACAATTTCAGAATCCAACAAGTATGAGAGCACTCTCATAATAACGTAACACTATCAGAGACTGGATATAGGGGAACAACACACTTTAAAATGAATCCTTAAAAAAGCATTTCATGACTTACATCCCACACATGAATTTACAACTGAAATGAGAAAATCTAATATAACACAAACACATAACATTTCCAAATGTGTAGTATTGAACTCCAACAGGCATTATCTATCAGACAGCTCCCTCTATAGCCACAAAAGGCTTTATATAACTCATGCGGCAGCTACTTTACAAGACTCCTAAACAGACTGGATATCTAAACATTGCTGCAGTTCCCCTTTAAATGTATAAACTGTACAGTACTTTCATCACCAAGTAAAGTCCTGCCTGCCTCGCTTCATCCAAACATACAAGAAGGTAAGGCTAAACAATTAGTTCATAAAAATTGAGATTGGTTAATAAAGCAACGTTTGTGGATAACTTCAAAAGAATACTACCTTCTTCCAGTATCCGTCTGAACAATCAGTTTAATAAATAATATGAATAATATGTAAACATTTTTAAAAATCTAGGAGGAGAGCGACGTTCCTAAATCTGTTAACTTCATTACATCATTATGTCTGCTTCAACTTTTAAAACACTCTATTCACTCGACATGTATAATATTTATAAGAGTTTATTGAAAATGTATTTCGAAATATAAAACATTGGCCTCCAAAAGTAAACGTATTTTCATTATTATAAGGGAAAAAATAACAATAGAATCGTTTAGCACATAAGACAATGCTCAAAGATAAAATCTGCTTGCAAAACCTAAGGATAATCATTCATGATCAAGCATCCTTTAATTTATAAAAAATAGGTTAAAAGCAGACTCAATCCATCTGGGATTTGCTGGATTAAAACATTACATGTCAGGTGAGAAGGCAAAATCATTTCTTACATCATTACATTACATGAATGACTTGCATGGTTTGCTGAATCTGGTTTTAACCTTACAGGAAAACGTATACATTTTACAAAATATGACTGGTCCAAGTGTAAAAAAAGGATAAGAGCTATGATTAAACATGAAGGTGCAAAAGCTATATTTGATAGAACCCCCTACAGAGACATTTACATTACTATTTCCCCATTGTAACCGTTTAAGACATTTTTTTCTTGAGGTACAATGTACGTTTAGTGATTTCTCCGCAACATTCACTTCTTTCCCTTTAGCTCATCAATGAGACATTTCTGCTCTTCCTCAAGGATTCTGTAGAAGACTTCTTTGCCACGATGCCCTGCTGCATTCAGGGGACCACTGAAGAGTTTCCTCATCTGCTTCTCAGTGGTCCGGATTTCCAGGATTTCACTATAAATCGATTGTGTGATGACTTTTTCATCAAGGAGCTTATCCAAAATGGAAGCAACGCCATCCACTCTCTTGATCAGCTTGGTTCTATGTGTATCCACAAAGTGCTGACCTGAGGAAGGAGGGAATAATGAGTAAAGTGTTGATGATACCATGAAGCCAACTTGATACATTTCTAAAAAAAATGATTAAATATTCTATAACAGTGTCTTCTTTATTTTAAATACAGTGGAGGAAATAAGTATTTGATCCCTTGCAGATTTTGTAAGTTTGCCCACTTACAAAAAAATGAACAGTCTATAATTTTAATGGTAGGTTTATTTTAACAGTGTAAGTAAGAATATCAAAAAGAAAATCCAGAAATTGACATGATATAAAAGATAACAATTTATTTGCATTTAACTGTGGGAAATACTGTAAGTATTTGATCCCCTTGCAACAAACAAGGATTCTGGCTCCCACAGACCGGTTACAGAAGTCCTCTTCCTTTAAAAAAGTACTCCTAATATCAACTTGTTAACTGTATAAATGACACCTGTCCACAGAATCAATCAATAAGATTCCAACCTCTCCACCATGGGCAAGACTAAAGAGCTGTCTAAGGACCTCAGGGACAAGTATTAGACCTGCTCAAGGATGGGATCGGCTACAAGACCATCAGAAAGCAGCTTGGGGAGAAGGAGACTGTTGGTGCGATTATACGGAAATGGAAGAAACACAAAATGACCATCAATCACCCTCGGTCTGGGACTCGACACAAGATCTCGCCCCCTGGGGTATTGATGATCATGAGAAAGGTGAGGTATCAGCCAGGAACTAGAGGGAGGAACTTGTTAATGATCTCAAGGCAGCAGGGACCACAGTCACAAAGAAAACTATTGGTAACACACTGCACCATAATGCATAAAATCCTGCAGCGCCTGCAAGGTCCCCCTGCTCAAGAAGGCACATGAAAGGCCCCTCTGAAGTTTGCCAATGGACATTTGAATGATTCAGAGAAGTGGCTGAACCACAGGGATCACAAACCAAAATCAAGTGTGCACCCACCATCTACCATGGTGTATTGAGCTGTCTCTCCAGCTGAGGGTCTCGCAGCTGAAAGAAATCGAGGGAAAATTACAATTGCTTAATGATGGACAGGTTTAATGTTTATGCTTTTTTTTTCATGCACACAGCAACATAGCAAAATACGGTCATTCAATGTGTCAATGATACATGCACTGTCATTGGTTGCCAGTTTAATAGAATACCTAAAACAATAAGACTGATGTTATCCTATATTCAACTAAATGAAAAGATTAAAAGCAACAATGGGTTACTCCACGTCTCTCAATACTGTTCAGCTTCCTAAGTCTATGCTACAACACACAAGCTTGTGTCCAAGGTCATTCCTATCTCAAGTGAATTAATTGGGGCTGGGCCATATATGGATATCATAGTGAAATCATGATGTCAGACTACACTTTGTATTACATTTTGGATAACGTCATATAACCTAAGTGTCTTTTCCTGGTTTAAGTGCCTGCATTACTTATTTTGTGAAAGCACCAATAATCAACCCTACAATTCTGGTGGAATATATTTGACCAGAAATATTGGGAAACCTAATGTAGATAAACAACTCACTGTCCCTTGATTCATTTTCTGAGGACGGTCCACCCGTAGCTTCCACTGCAAAATAGACAGATATGGTTAGCAAGAAATATGACGGATGACAATTTGACATACAATTTGTATGTAGGACACACTAATACTGCATGCTGTTATTGGCATTTTAAACTGGGAGCTTGATTTGACTGTCTAAACATTACAATTGCACACAAAGGGATTATGCTTTGCTAATAATACATTATGTTAAAGGCAATGTATGATAATAATTTGTTGGGTTTTGTAATTCCTCTCTTGTGCATATATTGACATCTTACTTCAAACACGTTGTATCAGACTACTTTAATTCATATAAACAAAATACAAGGACTTTATCACAGAATGATCAACAATTTTCACAGCAGGTCAGCTTTCACAAATGTTGTTTAGAGGAATTTAAGAAAAACCCCAAGTGTAGCTTGTTGGGTTTATGTTCTCTTTCCTGTCCTGTGTTTCTGTAGTTCTAAACACTCCAACAGAGTGACACATCTTCTCTCTAGCAGATTGCGTCAATTTCAGGAGCCAGTACAGATGTATTGCTCTCCTTTTTGACACAGCAGACAAATTACTTTCATTAATCATTATATTGATTACACCGGACTAATTTTAAGTAGAATTGCTCTACCTGGTTGTAAACCAAAAGTGTTCTCAGGGTGTGTGCAGTTCAGCTGGCAGAGGTGTTCACAGACATCTTCAACAGGTCCCTGCTGCAGTCTGTAGTCCCTGCATGTTTCAAACACTCCACTATCGTTCCTGTCCCCAAAAAGACTAAAACCACCAGCCTTAATTAGCACCTCCATCATCATTAAGAGCTTTGAGCGGTTAGTCAAATCATTCATCACCTCCTCCCTCCCTGACTCTCTGGACCCCCTGCAGTTTGCCTACAGAGCAAACAGGTCCACAGACGACGCCATAGCTCTCACCATCCACACTGCCCTCTCACACCTGGACCAGAGGAACACATACATATGTGAGAATGCTGTTCACTGACTACAGTTCAGCATTCAACACCATTGTGCCCTCCAAGCTGGTCATCAAGCTCAGAGACCTCGGGCTCAACAGCACCCTCTGTGATTGGATCCTGAACTTCCTGATGGGCAGACCCCAGGCAGTGCGGATGGGAAACATCACATCCTCCACCCTTATCCTCAACACCGGAGCCCCTCAGGGCTGTGTGTTCAGCCCCCTCCTTTATTCCTGTTCACAAACGACTGCGTGGCCACACACAGCTCCAACACCATCGTGAAGTTAACTGACAACACGACCGTCATCGGCCTGATCACCGACGGCAACGAGACGGTGTACAGAGAGGAGGTCGAAAACCTGATATCTTGGTGCCAGGATGAAAACCTCCATCTCAACATCACTGAAGACCTGACATGGACTCATCACACAAACAATATCACCAAAACAGCTCAACAGCGGCTCTTCTTCCTCCGCTGGCTGCGGAGGAAGAAGAGACTCCAGGATACTCTGCAACTACAGGTGCACCATAGAGAGGATCCTGACCCGCTGCATCATGGCCTGGTTTGGCAGTTTCATCGTTTCCAGCAGGGCGGAGCTGCCATCCATGGAGGTACAATGCCTTGCTCAGGGACACCTCGGTAGCACTTGGTCTTGCCGGGCCAAGTCCCTATGGACTTCGCCACCACCGCCCTAGTTGTGTATATGTTATGACAATAAACCTTTGAATCTTGAATCAAAGGTTGCTTTAAAAACAGCTTTTCTGTAGTACACAGTCAGACAACAGAAACTAACTTACTATCCAATGGACCAGTAATGGAGGGTGGTCCATCTGTCTCTTTCACTGCAAAAATAGGAATATGCAGTGTTGCATTAATAAAAAGAAAAAAAAATGTGTATGTTAAGATTATTATAGATGTAATAGAAATATCATTTCAATAACTGTAAAAACAAACATTCTTGAAAAACATTTTTTTAATATGCAGCATCTTACCATCTGAATCACCAGAGAACTCAACTGAAATACAGAACATACAAAATATGGATTTTTCATATTTCTTTTTCATGCATTGTATTCTCATCAACACGTTAAAATAAAGTTCATTTTTAATATGTTTGGATACAATGGGATTGGGCTCTCTTTGATTTAATATAATCATTTTGCATAACACTTTAGTTAATTAAAAGGTAAAAGAAAGATTATTTTTTTCATATGGTACACTACAGTAAGTAATAATGCCCACTGACCTTTTAGAATCTCATAGCTCCATACACACCGTGGTTCACGTTTCCCTTTGAGTTGTGAGAGTGTAAGGTCGAAGTCACTGATTGGATTCTTAAAGTGCACGACAAAGAATATTGAGCTTTGCCTTTGGCTACTATTGCTGAGGGTTATTTTCTATGTGAGAAGAAAAAAAAGAAATAACAGAGAGAGATGACAAAATGAGATGTGAGGGTCAATATTGAATAAACTAAAGATTTCAGTAGTTAAAAAAAAAGTGAATTAGTCACATGACCAACAGAAAAAAGTGATGCTGTTTATTTCAAATGGAGAAGTCCTTATTGTTTAACTTAAGTTTGATGGTATATGCATGCCGGTTTTTGACTAAGTCCACAATTTGATATGCCACTGGTAAATTACAAGCATCAATTTTCTCACATTCGCTCCTCTGGATTAACACATTTTGGCTACTGAACCATAGCTAATTCTTCTCTCTGCATGGCATTACATTACATTACATGTTAGACGCTTTTATCCAAAGCGACTTACATACTCAATACTGTGGGTAATCCCCACAGGAGCAATTTGGGGTGAAGTGTCTTGCCCAGGGACACAACGACATGCTGACTGCAGTGGGGTTTGAACCCGTGGCCCCCTGATCCGAACACCTACGCACAACCCACTGTGCCACACGCCGGCATATCTTGTTATTATGTCTTTATTAAACAAGGAACATGCATAACAATACATTAATTACAAAAAGGGAAGAGATGAATGGTAGAATTGAGCTATAAGCTAATTTCCATCTGCAGTCCCTTGGTATATAAATACATAAAAATCAACAATAGTGCAGATCTATAAAATACAAATACCAGCATATTTCACGCTCAGCTCGATACATATTCTAATGCCTGGTGGTTGCAAATTAAAAAGCTGATGGTGCAAAGATAATTCACCTCAGTGGGATGTTTAAGTCTAGTGGAGACACAGGTATTATTTACTAAATGAATAACTGTCCCATTTTAATTAGTGTCACATCCATTCTAGTCTAGTCAGCATTAACAATACCCGGAACCTGGCCCAATTTACTGGCAATTCAAACTGTACCTCTGGGCAAATCTTGGCCGTTATGCCTGCTGTGAGTTTGAAATCTTGGTGCATTTGCAGGCCCTTGTTTGTGCGTGGCTTTCGGATGAATTTGTATTCTTTATTGTCCTTGTCGATGGTCTGGAAAAAAAAATCAATCTAAGCACAACCCTGCTTCAAGTTTACAGTAAGAAACATCAGTGTTTAAAATGCATTCATGAAACAATAAGGTTTTAACAACAGAGTATTAGGGTCAGTATCTAGAAAAATAAATATTTATTTTAGATTTTGTCATTTCAGAATGGCCACTGAGGAAAAGCTCATGATAAAAAAACGTTTTGAGAGTAACTAAATAAGTGAGATCAAACCAAGCTGCAGCGTCATCGACAATTACCACTGAATAGGTCTGAGGCACGTCTGTGATTGTATTTACCATTTATAGCAACATGTGAAACAGTTAAATTGGCTTAAATACTTTGCTGTTTGAAGCAGCTCTCCATGGAGCAGAACTCTCCTTCGAGATGATCTAAAAAAACGAAATTATATCTCGCTTGATAAGTATTATCAGGGAACACGTTATAACATAATGATAAGTATAAGGTTATATGTCAACCATGTATCGATCATTGAGAGTCATATTGCAAACATAGCTTATAGCTTTGGGCAGAACTAGCTCTGTTTGTAGGGACTTGGCTTGGCGATCAGAGGGTTGCAGGTTCAAGTCCTTGAACGGATCAAGTGAAGAGTGGGGACTGATACTTTGTGAGGTGGCAATTGGCTCCTGGTCATGCTGAGGTAACCGTGAGCAAGGCACCAGAGCCCCACACTGGGCACTGTAATATAGCAGTCAACTGCTTCTTGTTTAAGGATGGGTTAAAGGCAGAGACTAGAATTCACTGTGTGCGGTGCTGTGTTCATGTTTGACGATTGGAAGTTGATTGTATTAAAATCCTCCATTTCCATAACATACAATAGGACCCATTTAAGATAATATTTCCTTTAAATATTTTCCCTCACTTATGACTTTACTCTCATAACAGGACTACTTTAAGAATTAAAGGTGTTATTTTCACAATTCAGCCCAAATAATCCATTGTAGGTTTTCATTTCATTTTGAATGTGTGACAGTAAGATATTCAGTAACCTCTTTAAGAGCAGGATCGTCCTTGGTCAGGTAAACACGAAGAACGGTGTGGGATGCGTAGGCTTTTGAATAAATCAACACGTTACAGTGTATTTTTACTGGAAAGCCCAAATGAACCATTATCAGGGGGGCTCTTGGAGAGAAAACTGGTTCAGACAGCTTGACATGGGACGATGTGACTTCAGACACTTTTTCCACAACATATCCACAGTCATCTATGTGCAGGACTGCAAACTTTTGCAATATTTCAGGGATGTCATCTGCATAGTATAAAGCACAAGAAATGTGAATAAAACAATTTCATTGATTATTTTGTTATTTTCCTCCATGATCACTTACCTATGCAGATCCAGTGTGGCAGGTACACTTCAAATAACTTCCCAGAAATCACTGTGATGTCTATCAGGGGACCTGCAGGCATGTATTTCATCATCTCCATCCTCTTCATGGGTTCCTCCGAAGAGCAAAACTGGTACTTAAAGCGGACCTTTTCCTGACAGACCCAGCGCAAGCCAGAAACACTGCATTCAAAGTTTCCCGCTTCAGACTTTAGGCTAAAATATGATGAAAAAAAGACAGAGTTTGTATTTGGTACACAGCATTAATACTATTGGGGAAATATTTGTAGCAGATCTTAGTGTTCTCTCTGTGAAGAAATCCCAAGACCGAAGTATCAGTGTTATATTTCCAGTTTGATAATATGCAGTATTTAGGAAATTATTTGTACCTGTAAGATGCCTCATCTTCATCTGTACTGTTCACCTCAGGTTCAAGTTTAGTCCAGCCACTGGAGTCCTTCTGCAGAGGACAATCATTTTTAAAAATAAGTGAAGACGTGACTTTTGGAAAAATCACATAAATTAACCCATACATGATCAACAAATAAGATGAACATTTAACAAAAATTAAGGAATTACCGTCATTTTTTCACTGCCCTCAAGCTCCAAGCTTCTTGAAGGCCCTTGTGAAGAAACAAGATTTTTTTTCATTATGTTACTTAAAAAATGTAATCCTATGGTAACTTCTATGCCCTTCAGCACTACTGTATGTGCTACATAGCACTGATGTAGCATTAGAGCAATTGTTATGCAGGAAATACTGGTGAGTGATGTCTTTTTGGAAGCTTGAAATAATACAATAGAAATACACTTGGCTTTTCACACCTTTGGATCCTAAAGTGATGTTTGACAACATTTGCCCCAGACCATAATCGTCTTCTTTCATCTTCTTTAAAATCTCTGTTGTCAGCTCCATAGACTGTTGGCCGTAGATCTCCACCATCAGATCCACAATCTCAACTCTCCCTGCTGTCTCTAATCTCTGACTTGAGATTCTTTGGAGGCCACGCTTGAATTTCTCGAGCTCTCCATCACTTAAATCTTGCAGTGTTTCCAGAAGCTTCTCCTCCAGTGATGCCATGGTTACTTCCTAATGGATTCAATGTCATCAGAGGGAATTCAATATAATATCTCCACTTGTTGAAAACATTTTCCACCTCTTTACTGTCAACATTTGCAAACTGTAAAACCTAAATGAGAGCCGTGTTGTGTAAAGTGTGTCTGATGTGATATGACTCACCTCCTTCATTGGTTTGGACGGATGTTTATCTAAGGAGAAAACAAAGGAAAAGCCTCATCACTGATTTAAAATCAGATTATAAACGACTTCTTAAAGGAAAGTTTTTTTTTTTTTTTTCATTACTGCTCTTAAATTATGAAGAATCAAAATACTTTATTAATCGGGAGCCGTGTTCAACAACAGGAAAACGATATAAGCTATATAACTGCAGCTATATAAAACGTTTGTTTACAAACTCCCACACAACTCGTGCAGTATAATCAAAGTCTCATTCGTCCAGGCACTAGCTCACTATTTGTACTCATGTGTGCAGAAGAGTAACGCATTTCCAAGTATGAGACTGTTAATGCAAAAGTGCTTCAAACAGTGAGGTTGTTTTGGTATAGTTGTGCTGTTATTAAACACGCCCGCCCCCCCATTTACTTAAATTCATTGAAATGTCTACATTTTTTCACAGTGGAGTCATGCAAGGAAACAGATGTATTCAAGAATTAGAGAGAAATCAGGGTGAGTAATTGTTATACAGAACAACTGGTCATTTTGAGAGTGAACTATTCCTTAAAATAAATAAAAAATCCAATACAAAAGCATTGCAACAATTACAAAACTCATGATTATGAACTCTTCTGTGTGATGTAGCAGTTTTTGTTTTCTTTCTCTTACCTTTGAGTCTTAAAATAGTCTCTGATAATCTCTCCACTAGATCAGATCTGTTCATGTCCATTAAAACCTCCCTGGTCACCTCCACAGACTGCGGACCACAGGTCTCCACCATCTCATCGACTAGCTCGAGTGCACATCCTGTCCAATTGGGATATCCATGACAGAGGTAGGATATGCTCTTCTGGAAGTATGTGAACGGCAGCAACCACTTAAATCTGTAGAGCTCATCGCCACTCATATCCTTCAGAGTTTTCAAAAGGAGAATTGGTGCCTGAATTCAACAGATGTGTAAGAAAAGGTGTTATATCTCTATGGAAATGAATATTACTTTGTTTTCATTTCGTCAGTCAGTGTTTCAGACAAGAGGATTTTATAAAATGTTTACAAGATCTCTCAAGTCAAAGACACACTAACATCTGTACTATTACATATGTTTAGCTTTTTTCTTGACAAATGCCATTTTTTTTATGAGTGTTCAGACGTCAGTCTGCTAATCTAATCATAACATCAGCGGAAGAAAAATCATTTTGACAGAAGAGATCCACCTTAAAAATGGTTGTTCAAGATGGATATGGTTAACAACTTGCATCTATTGAATGAAAGCTGTGATGTGTAAAGTCAGACTCACTCCCTCGGACTGTGCAGGTCGATGTTCATCCACAGAGTACATCTCTGAAGAGAGAAAATAAAGTGAATGTCTAACACACAAGATCCCAGCAACAACAACTAAACTACTTAAACGTAAAACATTCTGTTTCTTGTTGAGACTATATGTTGGTGGTATTTGATGGTATTTTAATTATTTCTTTAATGTTTCTATAGATTCCTGTCCCATGTTTTTTTTATACTTCACATTGTTAATGACTACAGATTATTTTTTATACTGAAATATAAAATGTATGTGATGTGAGTTTTTTTTTTTCTTCTTTGTCTTACCTTTGAGTTCTAAGTTTGTAAACCTCTGCATCAGATCAGTCCTGTTAATGTCCTTCAAAACCTCCATGGTTATCTCTACACACTGTTGGCCAAAGAACTGAATGATCTGTTCCACTGTTCGTGCTCTGCCTGTTGAGGATCTCAACATCCATGAATCATATCTCTGCTTCCTCTTGTAGACAATTAAATCCAGGGTCCGCTTGAATTTCTCAAAATCCTCGTTTCTCAAATCATTCAGAGTTTCCAAAAGCAGATGTTTAACAGCTGCCATTGTTGCTACCTGAAATAATCAATACATTCATTAGACATGTGTAGATTCCTCTTGGACAATTACAAACAGACAGACAGACAGACAGACAGACAGACAGACAGACAGACAGACAGACAGACAGACAGACAGACAGACAGACAGACAGACAGACAGACAGACAGACAGACAGACAGACAGACAGACAGACAGACAGACAGACAGACAGACAGACAGACAGACATACAGACAGACAGACAGACAGACAGACAGACAGATCATCATAGATAAGTCAATCATGTGTTTGGGTCATATCATTATCTGTTGAAGGAAAGGTGTGTTGTAGAAAGTCAGACAGATGTGACATTACTTTCTGGATCACTGCAGGTCGCTGTGCCTCTGAGTGTTTCTCTGAAGAGAAAAGAGGTGGAGATAAACCAACTCAATTCATTTGACCATCTCCCAAAATATTAGTCATTATTCTGATTAGTCATAAAACATATTTGTACACTAGGATATAAATACATTATAAATATACATTTCACCTTATAACTTAAAAAGAACAATACCGAGCTTATTAACTTAGGATAAACAGGTTTGATGATTTAAAGATGTTTGTGTCATATTTGTCTTACTTTTGGGTCCTGAGCTGCTTTGTGACAGCCTCTGCACCAGATCAGTCCTCTTCATCTTCTCAAAAGCCTCAGTGGTCATCTCCAGCAGTCTGTGATCGCCGTGATCTCGCACCAAATAAAACACTATGTCCTGCCTTTCTCTCATCATTAGCCATCTTAGTAAGATCTGTGGGTAGCCTTTGTCAGAGAGAATTTCACTCAGGACCCTCTGAAAACTCTCTAAATCCTGGTCACTCAAATCTTTCAGTGTTTCCAGAAGCAGCTCTATGACAGACGCCATCGTTTCCACCTGGTAAAATCAAAGGAGATGTTAATGGGGCAAAAGAGCAATTTCTCAGCTGGAATGATTACAGATTATTTTGGTTTGCAACTTGACAGTTTCAGTGTTTTACAAGAGTGGATGTGGTAAGAGAACATCAGCCATGTCAACCACAATGTATCAGTACACTTTATATTGTTCATCCAATTCATCACAAAACTATTTTCTTTTTGTATAAATTGGGTGTTTAATTCATGACTTTATTTGACCTCCTGGGTAACTCTTTCAAAGGCTGTGGTAGAAAAACTGCGATAAACCTCTTGATTTTACAACAGAGTCGATGTTTAACTAGTTTCATCTTTTTTTTTGTATTTGAACAAATAACATATAGATAACATTAATGGCTAAGAACGTATGTGTACCTAATTTGGCATGATCAGATTATTTCTAAAACTATCTTGGACAAAAAATGCAGTTCAGGATGAAGATTATTTATTAACACTTTTCTTAATCTACTGAGTCAAAGATCACTGTGTGAAATTGATGGGACTTTACTCACGCTCTGGATCAGAGAAGGAAGCAGTTCCTCTGAGGATTAAAAAAAAAGGAAAAGGTGTGTCCCAATGTGACACACTAACCTCCTCAACAGTGAGAATATAATTATTTATATATCCACTTAAAGATATTCTAACACTGTTCAATGGCTTAAGATACATTGGGTATCGGAATATACATATTTCTGTCTTTTTTCTCTTACCTTTGGTTCCTGAGCTGATGTCTGACAATCTCTGCACCAGATCAGTCCTGTTCATCTTCTTTAAAACCGTTTCGGTTATATTCACACACTTTTCGCTGAACGTCTTCACCATCAGATCCACTGTTTCATCTATGTTTGCCACTTTGAGGATCAGTCGGAAACTTTCGTCTAAATCAATGAGTGACTTGAATTCTTTAAGCTCATCTGAACTCAAATCATTCAATGTTTCAAGAAGTCTCTTCTGAGTCCTCATTCTTCCTACCTGTAAAATGTAAAGGACATATTTTAGAGTGTATGCAGGATAGGATGTCGATTATGTGTGTGATTTACATCCAAGATCAGAGACTGAGTCTCTTCTTATTTATATCACTAAGATTAACTTTTAGATAGTATATTCAAAACTAGATGTACTGCATTGCGATTGTATGCCTCCACAAAAGTGGCAGTTTACATCCATGGCTGTCCAAAATGTCATATATTTATCATTAATCATTTTAATCCCATGGCATTTTCCCACCAAATTGAAAATGAGTTTGTTTTGGTACTCAAGTGGATGTTTGTCCCAAAACATTGTTGTTTGGTTAAAGAAAACCCATTCTTCCACACAGGGCCCAATGGGTCAGTGGAAGATTTGAAATGTTGTCAATCATTTTAAATCATGTTTGAAAATATCAGGTTACAGAATATTGTTTCTCAGTGAAGGATTTCCTCGTCGATTTCAGAAACATCTGCCAGTTCAAGGTGAGTTAAGAAAACTAATGTTGTTTTAAATGTTTGGTTTACAAATTAGAGATTACAAATATTTTATTGATATAACTTTAGAATTGTATTCTCTATTGCATACACCAAGTGCATCTCAAGAGCAGTGATTATATGAGCGGCACAACATTAAATATCCAAACTTTAATTAGAATCCTTTTAATAACTAAATATTGAATCACCTCCATGACTTTCTTTTTTTTTTTTTTTTCTTTTTTTTTTTTACGTCTTTCTTTTTTCTTCTTATATTTCTCAGACTCATCACCAAGTTCATCGAGGAGATCTGACTCATGTTCTCTCAGCAGTTTGTAGAATATCTCTTTTCCTCCAGGTCCACAGAATCTCAAAGGCCCACTTAGGAGGGCCCTCATCTTCTCCTGAGGGCCCTGGAGGGATAGGATTTCCTCCTCATTTTCTCTATTGATAACTTTATATGAGAGCAGTCCATCCAGAATCGGTCCAATGTTTTTTACTCTCTGGACTAGTGCTAAATTATGTTTATCCACAAATAGCTCTGAGGAAAGAAAAGGCAAAGTGGTTAGCTTGGATATAATATGCATCACGATATATTTAATAAAAAGTGGTAAAACCTCAAATTCATCTATATTACAAAACCGGAAAATTAACTTTTACTCTGAAGGAATTAGCTACTTCTAAGAAACTGAGGAGCACATCTCTGGTAAATACAAGTTTAATGTGGTGATTCTGCATGATTCTTTGTGAGGAAAATTAAGTTGAGTGAAGAATTTCCTACATGATAAAACAGAAGGAAATACGTTTTCCAGTCACATTCTGCTTTTACGCTCGGCTTGATCCAACCTTATCTCAAACTAACAGACTAGGGTTGCGGTCGAATAGTCCATTTAGCTTAGGAACCTTCCTAACGGAGTGAAATGACCCGGAAGTCCCTCAGTGGCAGCCATGATAAGTGCCGTTCGAATTCTCTAAATGAAAGGAAAGGAGGTTTCAAACTTCCTTTATAACCTCCTTTAGCTTAGCTCCACTGGACCTCCCTAACCTAAAGGAGAGGAGAAAATGCTGCCCCACAATGCCTTGCGGCCGCCGCATTTGCCGTCACACAACAGTCGGCCGTTCACGGAAACAACCGATTATGAACGAGAAATGATATCATGAAAGTTACGGTGCTTAAAACGTATGTCATGTGGTAAGTTGCCAAAGTGCTTTGTTTTGAACGTTCATCAGTATTATAATCAAAAAGAGAAATATGAACGTTAGTTTTTACTGAAATGATCAAATAAAGTCAACATTTCAGTCTTTACTGAGCTGTGTGGGGTTTGTTCAACTTTTAAAAGATGTTTGAATGGTGATATACACAGTGATAGATGTTAAGGACTAACGTTTATAATAAATACATTTGTATTGATTTTAAGATCTTTTCATACAATCATACGTATTGGGATCATTTGTATTAATGTGGACCGGAGGGAGAGGGTGACGAGCATAAGTTTCACTTTCCTTTTTTATTTCAATTCCAACTTTGGTCATGAAGAATATGTTTCTCTGTTGTCCCCGTTCATAAAGCATAAAACAACAGCATCAGAGCACGGTGCAGAGTCTCTAGATGAGTTTACAGTAGTCCCTCGTTCTTATTAAACATCCATGTTGTAGTCCGCTGTATAGAAAACTGTAGTTTCCATAGTTTCCCCACAGCAGCAGGCGCACATTTATGACCTCTGCTGGCGCATCATAAACACGTCGGATAGTGAAAGTGCAGTCGGATTCTCTAAAGTGCCGCAGTCTCTTCTCCTAAATCCTTTTGAATTCTCCTATCGACTATCCCTTAACCCCATGACGTTTCACTCCGAGGTCAAGGAATAGACGATAGGGTTAGAACTTAGGAGATGATTTTTGGACTATTCGACCGCAACCCAAGCTTGTTTGAGACAAGCGAGACCGACGCAGACCTAATTGAGATCAACGTCTTGCTAGTGCGTTGCATGATGGTTAGTCATTTTGTCAGACTTGCTCAGGAGGCTCGCCTACATGAGACGTTGAAATCTCGCGGGACAAAGACGCCCGCAGACTTGAGAGCGAGGCGCGGCGAGGCGGCGCAGTTTCTCTCCACGGGCTGCGGAAGCGAAATGCTTGATGGGAAACGGCTCGCTGGTATCTCGAGCTGAGCGCTCATTGGTGGGTTTTACCCCGTGCTGGGGATGAAACTCTCCATTGGCTCGGCAAAAGTGTGTTGTTGTTTTGTGTCAGTTTTACGTCGCCACTTCCATTCACATTTTTCATCATTGTTCCACAATGTTTATCATCATTAAATTAATATCTATATATTTTATACTATACTGGCACTGCTTACCGTTTTCATACTTTATATATCTTAGCATATTCATATCCCTCACTGTGTATTCATCATTCAATTCATTCTATATTTTATTCTGTAGATTGTGTACATTACTTTTCCCTTTACTGCTTTTTGCACTCCTGGTTAGAAGCTAAACTGCATTTCGTTGTCTCAGTACCTGTAATATGTGCAATAACAATAAAGTTGAATCTAATCTTAAGCAGGAACAAATGTATTTACTTAGTACATATATAATCTGACATTAACGATTAAACACATTTGTGCATTCTTTATAAACGCAAACCGAGTCAAGCCGACTCCGGAGCAGGCGTATGCACCAGTTGTTTGCAATCCGCCAAAAAACCGAGGTTGCGGTCGAATAGTCCATTTAGCTTAGGAACCTTCCTAACGGAGTGAAATGACCCGGAAGTCCCTCAGTGGCAGCCATGATAAGAGCCGTTCGAATTCTCTAAATGAAAGGAAAGGAGGTTTCAAACTTCCTTTATAACCTCCTTTAGCTTAGGAACCACTGGACCTCCCTAACCGACAAATGATATCATGAAAGTTACGGTGCTTATTAAGCATTTTAAAACGTATGTGGTAAGTTGCCAAAGTGCTTTGTTTTGAACGTTCATCAGTATTATAATCAAAAAGAGAAATATGAACGTTAGTTTTTACTGAAATTATCAAATAAAGTCAACATTTCACAGTCTTTACTGAGCTGTGTGGGGTTTGTTCAACTTTTAAAAGATGTTTGAATGGTGATATACACAGTGATAGATGTTAAAGACTAATGTTTATAATAAATACATTTGTATTGATTTTAAGATATTTTCATACAATCATACGTATTGGGATCATTTGTATTAATGTGGACCGGAGGCCTCCGGTCCACATTAATACAAAAAAGGAAAGTGAAACTTATGGTTGACACCCTTTCACTTTCCTTTTTTATTCCAATTCCAACTTTGGTCATGAAGAATATGTTTCTCTGTTGTCCCCGTTCATAAAGCATAAAACAACAGCATCAGAGCACGGTGCAGAGTCTCTAGATGAGTTTACAGTAGTCCCTCGTTCTTATTAAACATCCATGTTGTAGTCCGCTGTATAGAAAACTGTAGTTTCCATAGTTTCCCCACAGCAGCAGACGCACATTTATGACGTCCGCTGGCGCATCATAAACACGTTGGATAGTGAAAGTGCAGTCGGATTCTCAAAAGTACCGCAGTCTCTTCTCCTAAATCCTTTTGAAATCTCCTATCCACTATCCCTTAACCCCGTGACGTTTCACTCAGAGGTCAAGGGATGTCTTTTTTTCTATAGTTAATACTGAAATAGAGCCCTGCTGTTTTGTCAGGGTCTTTTCTTTAAATATAATTTTAAAATGTCGATACAGTAGCCCCTTTTTTTAAATGTCTATGCTTAAGTTTTTATAGGTGTTGCTATCTGCTTTGTGTAGCGTGGTTCTACAAGCAAGTCTGTGCATTCATTGGGTGGTATCAGAGAGATACAAGGATCTGTAAATGCAATGAAAACAATTGGCCACAGCAAATAATTGATATTAAACATGTAATTTTTACTTTTGAATACTTCAGTACAAAGGATGTATTGAATAATTTAAGTGATATGTGTACACATATAAATCATTAGTCAAAACAGGGCTACATTTGATTGAATTATAAAAGGTATAATATGTGGTAAACTGAAGAGTCGTTTGGGAGCCGAGCCAAATGATCCGGCTCACCAAGAAATGCCGGAATTCCCATCACTACTTTCGAGGCGAGCCGCAACTCGTCTCAAACAAGCCTACTGTGTACATCAGGCCCGCCCCTCCCTACACGCAGATGGGTGGGGCGGGCCATCCGAGGCGCACCTTTATGCGCTTATGCCCATATGCGCTAGGAGCTTTTGTCAAGAGCAAAAGCTAATGGGGATCCTTAATAAACATAAACATAAACATTATGCGGCGCAATTACTGCCCTGGTGTATACTGTAATACCTGTGCACCTACCTTCCTCCATTGTGTTTAGATCAGGTGCTGCTGTGGATCAAGGAGCTGTTAAAAAATGTATTGTTGTTAGACTTTACGCATACCTCTGTTGTCTCTTATACATTTAAGAAAGAGAAAACAAAATACTCTCTTTCTTTAACGGTCTCGACACTAAGAAATTAACAATTAAAACTAGCTTAGGCTACACTACTATTTGTGAGGCTCAGTTAAATGACAACTCCAAATGTTCAGCTCAAGAAAAAAAAGTACTATGAAGACATGTGTGAATCAGAAACAGACAATAAAGTCATTGACACAAAAAAGAAAAAGAAGCTACAAGTAAAGTGAAAGGCTCATTAAGAACTTCTCATGCACAGCTTTGAGCCATCATGAAAGGTTTCAATCAGTTTGTGGTAGCTTAAGGAACCATTTTGAGCTAATTCAGTCCAAATCTAAAGATGCTCAATTTCCAATGATATAAAACTATTTAGGAAATCATTTGAGAAGCTGACACAACAGAATGTTTGCAATGTTGTTCTTTAAAAATGGCTCAAGCAAGTAGTACTAATTCTCCAAAAAGTTACAAATAGCTTTTTTAATTCATGTAATTAAAGGTTAAGAAGCTTTACAGCCCAGGAAAAGGTCATTTCCACGTAGCACAAACTCAAACAAACACAAACAATACTAAAAGTAGCCTACAGAGTTTTTGTATTTTTCCATCACATGAAACATGCCATAACAGTTTCAGACGTATTTTAAAAACTAGACGGCAGGAAATGAAACTTTAAAAAACCAGAAGCGTAAGAGATATGGCAGTGAGACAGTTATTAAGTGAATGTGTATAGTGACAGAATAATATAACCAAAAGGTCAATTGTACATGTCATTAGTGCAAAGAAAACGCAGAAAGGTTCAAGTGAAAGTAAAAATAGGCGCCGGACAAACGTTGTTACTTCTACTCTACCTTGTGGCATTAGATGTTGGAGTTGAAATCCTTCCATTAAAGGTAGGGTAGGTAAGAATGGAGAAACCAGCTGGAGTAAGCTAGAATTTGAAAGTACACAACCGAACAAAATCTGCCCCTTCCTTCAGACTTCCTTTCAACACACACAAACGCAATGAGGGCACAAGATAAAAATGAGTGCACGAGATGGAAGGCTGACAGGCAGGTAGGCCATCCAATGATCTGCTCTACTCACTGCAGAGAGGCTGACATGACTCACATTTCCTCTATTTGACTTGATGAATGCAAATTAGAGACCGGCTCAACCAGTTATCCAACAACAGTTGTACATTGGACTAGATTTACTATAAACTGTTTGTTTGCCTTTTATCATGTTGACTCTGATGAAGAAAGAGTAGTGTAAAAACTAAACTGAAACAGTTTTAATTGTTATCATAAGAGACAAAAAACACAGTCTGTGCTAAGTGTATCCTAAGTTCAACACGATGAAATGACTATGTGTTTAACTGCTCTATTAAATAGTTTTGAGGCTAAATGTAAAGCCACAACATCCATATTTAAATATATCAAGATGTTTTCACAGCAGAAATGTTGGCATGCTGCCACAGTGTGACGAAGGTAACTTCGTCACTGTGGACTGACGGCTTCGGGCCTTGTATTATTGCACTTTATGAAACAACTTCCCTTTGCACAGAAATGTCACCCAGCACTTTAGTAGTGAACAGTTTGGCACTTTATTAGCGTGATTGCACAGTACCGTTTGGCATTGCATATTTGCAAATTTTATATAATTTATACTAATTATTGAGATAGTATTTATTAAAGGATTAAACCGTATTAATTGAAATGTCGTCTGGCAGGTGCTGGTCGGGTCCTCGGCTCCGCCTTGAAAAGATAGGGGAGTTACCGAGAGCGCCGAAAGTGTTTGCTGGTGTAGAATGACAGCGGTTGAGAGTAATCAGGGTGCAAATAATATGTGAGGGTGTGGAAATCATAGCGTTAAGTGGCATTAATTGTACCAGTGCTGACTGTGTTTAGTTGGGTTTGTATGTGTGTTATTCTGTTCAGTTATATATGTTTGTGTTTGAAAAGTGTTCCCCCTCCCGTTTTGTCTGTTGCTCCTGATTATGTTCACCTGGTACCCTGTGTTGTCTCCAGTGTTCGAATTACCCATTTTCTTTCGGGGGAGCCCTATTTTTTAGTGCACATCCTGCTACTAAATATGTCACACGCACGCTCTGTTGACTGGCGCAGCAGCGCGGATGCGATCAATTGCTATAAAAACACTCTGCTACTACTACAGACGATATTACTGCCAAGGCACAATAACATTTCAGAGAGAATAAATAACAACATGAGGCTACCGTTTCAAAACCAATTGATAGCCATTAGCCAACATTTATTTAATTGCAACAAACAAAACAAAGCAACGACATCAGCTGCTGTTGGGGACACATGGCAACGTTTTTCAGATTTGTATAGGCTATATAACATAGGCACGGCGGCCTCAGAATTTAAATGAGTTGAAATTAATCCAAGAAAATAATGAGACTAGCTATCCAAAACGAATGATTTATTATTGAGCAACAACAATGAATGGAAATGTTAATACTACACTCCACCACACATGTAGGCCTAATCCAACAGTCTATGGAATTCGAACTTCCACGTAATTCAAAACTTTATTTTATTTTTATTTTGTATGTGTGCATGACATGTGTGTCATAGCCTCTTTTTTTCAGCAGAAGGGGAAGGAAGGGGCTTCTTTAGGACCAGCCTGGAATAGGCCTATACTCAGAGTCAACAGCTTTGTCCCTATCGCTTCTTGACTGTCCCTATCACTTCTTCCCTGTCACCCCCCTGTGGGTGGATTGCTACAATGGAGGGAAAACGGACGAGAAGTTACAGACATGCAAGCAGACTATGAAACCAAAGTGTGTGTGTGTGTGTGTGTGTGTGTGTGTGTGTGTGTGTGTGTGTGTGTGTGTGTGTGTGTGTGTGTGTGTGTGTGTGTGTGTGTGTGTGTGTGTGTGTGTGTGTGTGTGTGTGTGTGTGTGTGTGTGTGTGTGGCGCTGCTGAAAGAGCAACGCCTATAGATTGATTAGACTACGCAAGTCAATCAGTCTGATAAAAACCTAATAAATCACACCACCAAAAAATATATCAACAGTAGGACTGGGGCCAGTCCAAACAAACACAAAGCTCAAACAGTCAAATGGACTCTCTTACCTTACTGTAAAAGCGACCACAGGGACCTGGGCGGCTTCTTCTTCGCTTTCGGTCCCGGAACCCATGATGTGGAGGGTTTGTGGCCAGCTTTGATCCAAGACCGTACAAATGGCTGAGGGTCGAATTGCTCCAGGGGGGGGCCATTGATGTCTACGAAGAGAAGTGAGAAGAGGCTCTTCTCCCGCAACTTGTTGCGTTTGTCGGTGTCGGTCGAATTGACGGCAGAAAACCCCCTCTCACACTCAGCTGATGTAGGCAGAAAGGTCTTGCTCGCTGTCTGCAGTTTTTGCAGGGCTTTCCCTGGAGATTTATTCTCTAATTTGTAGTCCCGAAACTCCTCAATGGCCTCTCGGGCCGGTTCCCCCAGTACTTTTGCCAGTGCGCGTACTTCATTCTCCCCATAGAGGATCAGGGCGCTCCGTTGTTCGGGCCAAAAGCGCTTGTCCAGTGGTTTTAGCATGCGGACCAGGTCCGGTTCAGGCAGTCGCTTCTTCAAACTGTCTATTATAGACTGGTAAAACTGCAGACGGTTTATCTTGGGCCTGCTCTCTGAGAGCTCAACATCCTTGAACATGCCAGTAGCAATGCCTTCTTCCACTTTTTGTGTGGACTTTCCGCCACTGATTTTCATAGCTGTCAACACATCGATGGTCTGCTGAATGTAGCAACTTGCATCTACCAAAGATGTTTCTCTGCGTTGCAGTTTTAGCGACAGGCTTTTAAGTTCTCGAAGAACATCCTTCATGTTGCCAAATCAGTCAGAAATCCAGTGCTCGTGAGGAGTTTGTGCAGTCCCCTGAATTTCTGTCTCTCTGTGTCACTGCGAGATGATGTGTCGTCTGTTGCTGTTTTGAATTGGCGTGCCAGTGCGGGATAATCTTTCCAGACAGCTTTCACAGTCTGAAAACTACTAGCCACCCAACGAATAGTGAAGATTTGGCCTATTTTCAATATTTGCATGTTTAATTCTGCTGCTGCTTCTTGGAGCAAACGGGCATTTTTTGATGACTGGTGATAGAGAGCATACAGTTTTGCAACAAAAAACTCAAATTGATTACACTCAGCTACTTCTTTAAGGCAATCCTTGACAGCCAATTCTAGTCGGTGGGCTAGACAGTGAATAGACTGCACTTTGGGGAAATCCTGTTTGAGTTTTGTCACAAGTCCCCCAACTCTGCCTGTGAGTACTGCTGCTCCATCCGTTGCTATTGAGATTAGATTTTTCCCCAAGAACTCGTCATCCAGTCCAGCTTGTTTTAAGCTTTTCCTCAAATTTCTGTACAGCGAGTTAGCATCCGTACCTTCTGAAAGCTCAACAATATCCAAGAAAACATTGTCCACTTCCCCTTTTCCTGTCATGTCACATCGCACGTAAATATTCATGTAGGCCCTCCCATGAACTGTGCTCTCATCTATTGTGATGCTAATTAGTGAGCCCATGTCTTTTACGTTGGAAACAAATTTAGCTCTCATTTCCTCGGCGATATGCCTGATTATTTCAGCACAAGCATGGTCCAATTTGTGCACAGTCCCTACGGTAGCACCATTGAGTTTTTGTAGGAACATTACAGCAGGTAGCTTTCTGTATGACATTTCTTCTTTGGCAATCATATAGGCAGATCTGAACGATGTATATGTTTCCTGCATTAGATCCGCATTGATTGCTAATACCTTGTTTGGTAGGACATCTTTCTTTCTCATCTCCGAAATTGCGATTGCTTTTTCGTGTGCCTGGCTCTTATGGTGCTTATAGATCTTTTTTCGCAGGTTATTTTGTTGATCACAGCTGACTTTTCCCTGAATCCATTCTGGTGAAAGGTGCACTCCTGTGGATTTTTCTGCGAGCGGCAAGGAGATCAATATAGTTTTTGCCTCTTTGCAAATCTCACATCCAAATTTTTTATTTTTTATGAAAAGCCATGGATACTTTTCTTTCCACTCACTCCATCTTTTCAGTGTCCAGTTAAAAGGCAGGCCATCATGGGCATCTTCAGCGTCATGTTCGCTAGTGCAGGTCGAACCGGCGGCTGTTGCCGTTGTTGAAGCCTCTTCTGGCTCCGCATCGGCAGGCCTTTCCCTCGGTGTGGAGCTGTCACAATCGACCCTAACGCCGCTTACAGCTGGCGAACTAAAAGTTGTTTGGTTGACATTTTCATTTTTAGACTCCTTTGCTTCTTTACTTGTGAAACCAAAAGCTGCGAGGCTTGGCTGTTTGCGTTTCGCCATTTTCTTTATTACAAAGCCAATTTGTTGTTGTTAAACAATATCAATATGAACCGCCGTAACCATAGCAACGTAAGTAGCGTAAAGAATGCAGCCCCGCCACGTACAGATGGCAACACACAGAAATATTCACAATATAATATTCAGAAACTGTAATGACCAATGACTATAATTTATTTCAAGAACTTTTATTTACAGAAACTCAACCTTTCTAATCTGTGTGACACAAATATGCACGATTTTTTGGGGCTCCCCCTATTTATCTCAAAGTCGGCCTTCGGGGGAGCTCCCTCCCTCTTCGGGGGAGCCAAGCTCCCCCTGGCTCCCCCCCATTTCGAACACTGGTTGTCTCCTTCCCCCTCACCTGTGTCTTGTTGGCTTAATTGCACATGTGGGTATTTAGGCTTAGTGATGGCAAAATGAAGCTTTGAATGAAGCATCGAACCACTTGGACAATTGTGTCGGAAATAGGTTCATTTCTCGAAGCTTCAGTTACAGCGACCTCTCCTGGCGAAGTGCAAGGCTGCAGTGAGTTTAACGTATCTTTGCCTTGAAAAATATTCGATGTACACCAAGCGGCAAACTCTGGGGAAGAGCCGGGACGCCAATACGGAAGTGCCACAAACTGCAGTTCATATATTGGCCGATAGGCGCTGACTGCAGAAAGGAGCAATTTCCATAGACCCCCATGTTAAAATGCCCAA